CAAAGTAGAAGGATGTATCTATCTTCGTCTTTAATTGTTGCTAATGGGTCTATTTACTAATATATAATAGGCGCTCAAAGACCTTAGGCATTGTAGCGTAGTAATACATTATAACACCACTATCAAAAGTAAGATTTTTTGTAGGTTTTGGGTTATGAATGCAGTGATGTGGTGTCTCTTATTATTAATTTCCATTGAACACTGAATTAGAAATATACGATAACGATTCAGTTCAACCTAAGAAGAGTGAGATTAAAATGTGATACGAAATAGACTACGTGTAGGCAGATTAAGTATATCTATTCTTTTAATATAATTGTCGATAAAATTAGTCAACTTTCAGTCAGTTATAATTATTGACTCATGTAATCGTAATATTTGAAATTATTTAAAAAAATATACAATTGATACAGTATCTATCTAGTTGTGGCCATTACTCTGACAACCCGTTTTCTTTGGTAATTTTAAGGGTAGACTGTTGTAAGAGCTGCACCAACCACCTCTCCGCTCTGTCGTCTGATCACCTTCTTAATACTTTCAACTCGCCTGTCTCACCATCATCATCATCTGCCTCATTTTAATTCCGAATTATTTGCTTACCTGTCAGGTACCACCTCTCCTCCCCTACCCCTCTGCCATATAATATCCATATACCTGACATGCAGGACTTTTGCAGGTGTGTACTCAAAGGTAAAGCAGGTGACCACTATCTACCTGACCCCGTTACCTGCCTTCAAGTCTCATTATCATGTCAATTACCACATATATGACATTCCAGGCATTACTTTCTTTACTCCCTCTTGTCATTTAATGTTTCACCCAGTTATTACTTCGTCGCCTTATAATAACTTATATATATATATATATATATATATATATATATATATATATATATATATATATATATATATATATATATATAGTGTATATATATATAATTATACACACCAGTTTAGTAGACAAGGAAAGAGCGCGTGATCTACCCGCCGGGGTACGGAGCGTGATCAACAGGTGGTGGTATTGAAACGTGAGTTGCGTTGTCCGTAGACTTTCACTGATCTAGCGCCAATGATAACTCACACTCCGAGCTCTCTGTAATCTCTCGCTTAATTTCTCTCCCTAAAATAATTTGATAATACATTTAATTGCCTCACATAAATAGTCGCCGAAGTGTCCTTGGATAATTACTTTGAATGTACGTAATTTTTTATATCTTTTTCAATCTCCAGTTAAGAGTGTAAAATTTTAAAAGGTAACGTTCGAGAACAAAATAGTCTCTCACTCTTTATGTGTAACCAAGGACACTTGGGGGACAAAATATCTAAGGCAAGTAAATATATTATCAAATTATTTTGGCGAGAGAAATTAAGCGAGAGATTACTGAGAGTTTGGAGTGCGAGTTATTATTGGCACGATAGTCGTGGAAGTCTACGGACAACGCAACACACATTTCATTACTACCACCTGTTGATCACGCTTCCTACACCGGTGGGCAGATCACGCGCTGTCTTTCTTTGTCTACTAAACTGGTGTGTATAATTATATATATATACACTATATATATATATATATATATATATATATATATATATATATATATATATATATATATATATATATATATATATATATATATATATATATATATATATATATATATATATATATATATATATATATATATATATATATATATATATATATATATATATATATATATATATGAGACTATATGACATAAGGAATAGAATCACTACAGATCCATAGTTGATGCCCCGTAGCTAAACTGATGTCACAACAGAACTACAGGTAAAATTTAAACAAATGCAGAACTCTGGTTTAACAATTTTAATTATATCAAATTGAATCTATACCTTCAGTGATTTCAACCTGGTGAACTTACTAGTGACTTCAAATGCTACATCAGTCAAGGGAGAGAATGAGAAAATTATGTATTTAGTGGTAGTTTACGGCAAGAATAACTCCCATACAGAAATACACCTCAGTCGTAAATAACAAACCCATTATCATCAGTTATTTTAGTCTGTGTAAAGATTCACAAACACAAATATTACTAACAATTATAAAAACAATCTCATCTTTTTAGTTGTTTTTTAACTGTCGGAAAAATTAACACCATATGAAAGTTGAATAAGCACCTCGGCCCACAAGATAATGATGAATAGTGGGAGTTTATGAATGATGTCCAGTGATGCTACTGGACAAAAATTAGAGATGCTACACGATACATCTTCATCTTCCTGGGTCAACAAAGATCAACAGCCAGAAAACTAAGTGAATCAGGCGTCATTTATCAGGTAATAAGTCTTCCGTGGCACATCGTTTAGTGGAGGAAATATATGGGGCATAAAGTAGGAGTTTTAATGGTGTGGTGAGTAAAGTGAGTCTCAGAAAAACAGTGAGGTTCATGATTCTTCACTTGTCAACATCTTGTTAATAAATCTCGTAGTTGTTTCTTGGCTGAACGAGTGTAACTAAACCTCTTATTCTTGTAGTTGTATTATCAAAGGTGTTGCTACTGAAAGATAAAGCCGCATCCATCTACCTCACGCAGAATACAAATATACGTTCGAATCTGTCATAATTTCATTAAGCTCTTATTTATGTTAGTAATTTTCCCAAAAGCGTTTCTTCATTAACAAACTCGTGTCAGGTACCGGTTCGTAAATGTTTATGCGTTTAGGTGAAGCTACCGCAGGGATTTAGCAACAACTTGGCACGATGCCTTAGACCACCTGTCAGAGAGTGCCAGGCATCAGAGAGGGCCAATAGTGCTCTTGGGTGCCAGTGACTGCCGTAAACTTGTCACAGTGATGGTGTTGCAGACTAACGTGCTTAATGAGAGTGGCAAGACAAATGAGGAAGGGGTCTGGCGAGCCTTACCTGTGTACCGAGGGAGTAGGTCGTGTACCGGTAGAGTAGGTCGTGTACCGGTAGAGTAGGTCGTGTACCGGGAGACTAGGGCGTAAATTGGGAGTTTATTTAGTGTACCAGTAGTTTAATTAGTGTACCAGTAGTTTGATTAGTGTAGCGGTAGTTTAGCTTTTAGTCGGAAGGTACTGATAGTCAAGCTCATGTAGCAAGGTATTTGTACTCTTAGCCTAATAATGACCTTAATCTAGTTTTGGCTGTACCGGAACATATACTTGATCATAACAGGCGTCTGGTAGTATCGAAGTCCAGCGATAATGAGCATTATTTTATTGAGTTCTTGTTGTCATATGCTCCATTATTAAGTATTGGAAGTTGTATGCTCCATTATAAGGTTCGCTAAAATCTGTTCAAGGTAAATACAAACTCCATAAAGTTTCTTGTTAACGTTGGACAGTATCGTCATCATAAAGGACCTCTGACAGTACTCTTTCATCAGCCTAAACTTGAATAATTAATAAAGAAAAGAAAGTATAGTTTGACATGACATTATGGAATTTTTTTTTTTTCTAGTTTATCCATCTGAATGTCTCTCACGCTCTTTGTAAATGTTACCCATGAACCTATGTCGAAAATCATGTACTTACAGTGGACACCATTGCTGCTTAAAATGAATAAATTTCCACGGTGTTATATGACCTATATGTTTTATACAGAACATCGTATATAAAACAGATGGATACCAGGACATATATATATATTGTTTTAACATTAACCATTACATAACAACGGACCATAACAAAACACTTCAAGTTTACGTCGAGTCAGTGTTCTTTACAAAGTACTGTTATGATGTCACAGCTCACACCTTCCACCACAGCACGTCCTTCCTTGCATTACCTCCACGTGTTGTTATTGTCTGTGTCATAGTATCTCCCATTTATATCTTCGTCAGAGTCTATTAATTTCTCCCACTGACCTTAAAATTCCCTGCACTTGGCCTGGATACCTCTGTTTTATCGTCGTCACTCCTGGGAAAATGAATGTATAGCTGTCTCCTTCTTGCTGATGTTATAATGATTACTGCCTTTCACTAACTAAGGTCTTTAAGCGCGTATTTTTATGAATTCTTGTTGGTGTTATAATGATTACTGCGCTTCAACAACTAAGGTCATTAAGCGCGTATTCTAGTTCAGTTAATTCACTCTCCTTCACCATTCCGAGATATTTCATACTAACTCTTATGTGGTCAAAATATATATACTCGTTACTTTCTCTTCAGTATTTTATTAATTTTCCATTCCACTTCTTTGTTATATTACTGTAGTTCCTGCGCTTCTTTTCCACCTCTACATCGTATCTCTACCATTCCATTTTTTTTCAAACCTGTTTTTCTCAGCCTAAGTACATCAGCATTGTTCCTGTTTCCTCTATTTTATGAACTATTTATTTTCACATTGACCTTCTGATTCAGATAATCTCTAACGATATTTTTTTCTTATCGTTAAATAATCCGTAATTTTTTCACTGTGCGTCATTCTTAAGTTATTGTACATCATTCTAATGTCATTTTACATCATTCTAATGTTACTGTACATCATTTTAATGTTACTGTACATCATTCTAATGTTAGTTTACATCATTCTAATGTTACTGTACATCATTCTAATGTTACTGTACATCATTCTAAAGTTACTGTACATCTTTCTAAAGTTATTTAACATCATCCTAAACTTGATAATCTATTTATATTTACTTTTAGAAATTTTTATAAACATTTTAATAAACATTTTAATAAACATTTCCTTTTATAAAACTGTAAATTATGTCATAGTGGATCTGCGTCGGACCGAGACATGCTGCCTTAAGTAAATAAAAAACTTACAATCTTTCTGTCTCTTAATTCTATTCCTTTCTCTCACTGTCACATAACTCCGCCGGTCCCCCTCCCCGTCCCAACTCGTTTATGATCTCAGGTAACATCACATACCAACCTCGGTGTGGCGGACGAATGGCGAATTTATATGACAGGTAGGCTTAACAACATTTCCGGAAATAGTCCTTTGTATGTATGTAGAGGTACTGCACACTATATATATACTGGTAGTAGTCTTAATCCATAGGGGAGACCTCGAGATTCTGTCAGTCAGTGCGAGTGTAGTGGAGGACTCGCAATACCTCTTCTACTGTCGCAGTGTAAGTGTACTGTATATATATACGTCCGATTTCTTCACAACACTGGGAGTTTCTCTTAAATCTGTGGCTATTGAAGATGCTTTTGTGGAGGAAAAATATTTACAAGACTAGTAGATACTTAATGAAGTAACAAAGGATTTAGTGAAACAATATTTTGGATTTCAACTTTTGATTCCAGATTGTAGAAGACTCCCTGAACCAATGATGTGAATATGCTTGTTAGTGATTTCCTTATTCTATAAGATAAAGAAGAGGTTGAGCTGAGTGTCGGGAATCTATCATAAAAAATTAATATTCTCTTACCGCCAACTTAAAGAAAAGGATGAAGTGTAAATCTTTGGCGATCTAATTTCAAATCACATTTTTTTTTTTAAATGAACTCCGCTAATGTCAGTCACGTTTAAAATTTACGTGTATTGGTGTCCTGTCAGTCTCAATTAATCATGAACTCGAAGATGTAATTGTGGGGGTTAAATTAATCCATTACTTAAGAAAAAGATTTATGGATTCGCCACTTTAGGATGAATTATAACCTAGAGACTTAAACCAAATTAGAAAGTGATTTTGAGGATTTATTCTAAAATAGAAGATAAATCCCTTTACTTTAATCTTAAGGAGATATTTTATGTTCAATATCTCAAACTTTCATTAAGTTGTTACTTAAACGATTTGAGCCCAAAATAGAATAAGGATTTTGGAATTAAAGTTTGGTGTCATTATAAAACTTGCAATTAAATGCAGATTTCCCAGTGTAATATAGTCAGTGTAATCAAATAAAATCAGCTGTGATCAGATTAAGATACTACACAAGGAACACTGAGCCCAGAGTTACTTCACAAAACATACACTCAGGAATTCTCATTCATATGTGTAATTTCTTGTCGGTATGTTAAATAATTTTAACTTTTCATATCAAAACATTTTTCATTAAGAAAGTCGTTATCAAAATTGTATTGAATATTCTTTTTTTTTTTAATAAATGTCATTCCTACTTTCAGAAGATAGGAATTAAACATGTGTGACGAAGATGCTTCTGCGCTGGTCTGCGACAACGGCTCCGGCCTCTGTAAGGCTGGCTTCGCCGGCGACGACGCTCCCCGCGCCGTATTCCCCTCCATCGTCGGCCGTCCTCGTCACCAGGGTGTGATGGTCGGTATGGGTCAGAAGGACGCCTACGTCGGTGACGAGGCCCAGAGCAAGCGAGGTATCCTGACTCTCAAGTACCCCATCGAGCACGGCATCATCACCAACTGGGACGACATGGAGAAGATCTGGCATCACACCTTCTACAACGAACTGCGTGTTGCCCCTGAGGAGTCCCCTGTCCTCCTCACTGAGGCTCCCCTCAACCCCAAGGCCAACCGTGAGAAGATGACCCAGATCATGTTCGAGACTTTCAGCTGCCCTGCCATGTACGTGGCCATCCAGGCCGTGCTGTCCCTGTACGCCTCTGGTCGTACCACAGGTATCGTGCTGGACTCTGGTGATGGCGTGTCTCACACTGTCCCCATCTACGAAGGTTATGCTCTTCCTCACGCCATCATGCGTCTTGACCTGGCTGGTCGCGATCTCACTGACTACCTGATGAAGATCATGACTGAGCGTGGCTACTCCTTCACCACCACGGCTGAGCGAGAGATCGTCCGTGACATTAAGGAGAAACTTTGCTATGTCGCCCTCGACTTCGAAAATGAAATGGCTCAGGCAGCTGCATCAACTTCTCTCGACAAGTCCTACGAACTTCCCGACGGTCAGGTCATCACCATCGGCAACGAAAGATTCCGTGCTCCTGAGGCTCTCTTCCAGCCTTCCTTCCTCGGGATGGAATCCTCGGGCGTCCATGAAACAGTTTATAGGTCCATCATGAAGTGTGATGTTGACATCAGGAAGGATTTGTATGCCAACACCGTCATGTCTGGTGGTACCACCATGTACCCTGGTATTGCTGACCGCATGCAGAAGGAAATCACCACACTGGCTCCCTCTACCATCAAGATCAAGATCATTGCTCCTCCCGAGCGTAAATACTCCGTCTGGATCGGTGGCTCCATCCTGTCTTCTCTGTCCACCTTCCAGGCCATGTGGATCTCAAAGGAAGAGTACGACGAGTCCGGCCCCGGCATTGTCCACCGCAAATGCTTCTAATTCATGTGGAGTTCATATTCTGTTACATGTTAATGTTCGGTGCCTTTGACAAGCTGCAAGTTATTCTCGTGCTCTTTTTTTAAATAAATATAGTATAAAAGTAAAAAGGTGTATCATTGAAGAACATATCAACCCAAATTTAGTACCAAACAATATTTCCTCCTGACTACATTATTAAAACTAATAAAAAACATTGCATTCAAACTTTCTGAATGGGTCAGCTATAACGGTGATCAGGATTATTTTCTATTTACAAGTAAGACAAACTAACCTCAAGGCTTGAATGATGTAAAGAAAAGATAGAACATTGATATTTGAGAGTAAATTATTAGCCTTATGCCAACACTGACTATAACAAAGTTGTAGGTGATGTGAGTTGAATTAATAAGAGATCTTTTTCGGTAGATGTAAAATTATGTATGGATTAAATTCTACAGTTCATACTTATTTTTTTTAAGACTGATTTCAGATACACTCTCGATTTATTTTACATGTTTAATATATGGTCCAGACCTACAACCACGATAGTTACCTCTAGACGACTGAATCTACACAAACATTCATGTCATGGGAATTAACTGATCTCTTCTTATCCTTGTAGGGTTAATTTAGCTCCACAGTTTATAGTACTGGCAGGAGTTTGTTTACTACGGGCTAACATTATCCTTATAAACAGAAAATCGAAAGTTAAATACGGAAAATCATTACATGTTGTGTCTTACAGGATAACCAAGAAGGCTTGTATCTTCGTTAATACTATTGTGTGATGTTTCATGAAAATTATCACCATAATAGTCAATCCTTTAAAGATGTTTAGAAATATTTATTCAGGGGCCAGAACATCCAGTTTAATACTCGTATTTAGGAATCCCACACGATATAAGGTATTCAAGGCAGATACTTAACCTCTTACAATGGCATTCCCTTAAATATGATAAATTAACTTCCGGAGTACGATGCCAACTCCTAAGTACAATTTCATCTTACATAAGGGAATAATTTATAATAATCAAAGAGTTAAAATATCGTACTCAAGAGGCTAAATCATCATCAATCAAGGATTTAAATTATCATACTCAAGGGTTATAATACTGTTTCACTGGGAACTATTGTAATATGTCTTGAAGTATGGAAAAAAAGACTTAAATCAAAACTTCAATCTCAAAAAGTCCAAGATGGCTGACGTAGTGCCTATAGAGGATATGGAACTACAACATTATTAAGAAGTATAGCTCTTTATACGCTATTAGATTAGCCATAGTGCCATATATCATAAAAATTCTCTCGATAAATTCTCAGAAAATACTATATAAGGCGAAACAAATAAACACACACACACACACACACACACACACACACACACACACACACACACACACACACACACACACACACACACACACACACACACACACAGAAACACACTCATTATAACGCACCCTCGTCAAAGTCAAATTTATAAGTGACACAAACACCATCTTTATAAATCACGAAATTAGACATGAAGAAAATCGAATTAAATCCTCAAAAACAGCAAACATTAAGATCATGCCTCAAGAGTATAGTTCTATAACATACAATAACACAATTATTTCTCCTGCAGGTATAAAATCACTATAAATATCATACTGGAAATATAAGCTAACGTTAGGAATGTTAATCTTGTCACGTGTTTCGACTTTACAGGTTTTTGGGGTAGACTGTGAGGCGTTATATATCCGGCGCCCGCATCTGTTTCCTTAGCTGTCACACTCCCTTCAATCCAAATGAGTCAATGTTAATTATTTTTCTCTCAGACTTGTTTTTAATTCGTCTTTTCTGATTTCACTGATGGATGATCTGTGAGGAAGGGTTTTTTTTCGAGTCATGTGAAGATTAACCAATTTATCTTATTTTCCCTGATGATTGAACACCCTCAGGTTAAGTTAACATAATTTAACCTAACCAAATATAATATAATATAATATAACATATACCCCAAACTAAGCTTATCTAACCTAACAAGGGTTAACCTAATCTAACCTTAACCAAACTTAACCTAACCTAAACCTAACCCCGCAGGTAATCAACAGGTGACATAAACTAGGATGGGCTTAATCTTCAGGTGATCCACTTATTCTATTTCCAATACCCAATCACGTCTATTTCTCTAACACTTAATATTTCGTACATGCCCACTACTATACCGCCCCCTAGTGACCTGGTAATGTAGGACCTGATAACCTGGTAACCTTGGTAATCTGGTGATCTTGCATTGCGTCATATTAAGTAAAGATTCACCTCAAACTCACCTATCGATTAATCATTACGTCACCAGGTACTCTATCATCAGGTCACCAGGTACTCTAATTACTAGGTCCGTCAACCAGGTTACCAAACACTAGGTACTTCATTACCAGATCACTAGTACTCCACCACCAGGGCACCAGGTAGAATGGAGATGTGGTAACAGTGACAGAGTGAGGTCATTCGTACACACCCTGTTATGATCACCCTTCACTTTTTCTTTACAAATGTCGCGTCTGTTTTTTCTTCATCTGTCTGTCTGTCATTTTACGTACGTGTGTTGTGTGTGTGTGTGTGTGTGTGTGTGTGTGTGTGTGTGTGTGTGTGTGTGTGTATGTCTCCTAATATTATTACCTCAATATTACTGCAATCTCACATGTTTGTTATTCTTGGTTACTGGTGTTATTTATAATCTCCGAGAAAATTGCCTTTATCCTTTCCCCCAAAAATTAACTAAATTCCTCCTCGAGTCATTCTTACCTCTTAACTCTACAAGATACATCACTTTAGTTGATATAGTGTTCGTGTACTAGTTTCATTTCTTATTATATATCCTTACTTCCTGCTTACACCTGCACTGTCGTTTATGAATCATAGAAGCTAAATAAATACAAACTGAGAGAATAGATTAATATTAGCTACACTATATCAGGTCTCAGACTACTAAACTATTGATTATAACCATTTAGTATCATTATTAACACGCTAACAATATTTACATCTGACATTACATATCTAATTAAACCATGTGGGTTATAAGTCTAATTGTCACCCACTTGACTATATAACAATGCCAGGTATCAGTTTACAAGTGTGTGTCGGGCTCTCTACCCAGCCAGTCCTTGCTTGCCTGGCGCCTCACCTCTCAAAATACTCTACACAGACATCCTATATCAATATTCTCTTACCATTATGTACGTATATTTGTATCTGTATATATTAATTTGCTCTATTTATATACAATGTTTTTTTATTGGGTTTTTTCTAGTTTATTTTGATGTGTGTTCTTTATTTATCAGATATTCATTGTTTTGATTTTCTGAAGTCATGAATGCAGTTGTTATATTTTGTCCTACGCTTTATCTCTGTGTCTGGTTCCTTATCTTTTCCTTATCTTTCGATGCATAACCCTTCCTCCTTCTCATCATCCCCGCTCTTTATTGTACCATCACTTTCTTACTCTCACCAGTACACCCTTCCTCTTACCAACACACTCGTTCTCTTACCAGCACACTCTTCCTCTTGCCAACACACTCTTGCTCTGACCAGCACACCCTTCCTCTAACTAGTACACTCTTCCTCTATCCAGTACAACCTTCATCTTACCAACACACTCTTTCTCTTACAAACACACTCTTTCTCTTACCAGCACACTCTTCCTCTTGCCAACACACTCTTCCTCTTACCAACACACTCTACCTCTTACGTCCACACTCTTCCTCCCGGTTTAACAGTTCCCCAGATGTGCCACGTGCTGTTTGCGTCTGGTAATTCTTCACCTTATCTTCACTGGATTCCTTCAGTGATGTTATTGTACTGCAAAGAGACACTCCGAGAGTCATTAAGACGATATGTTGGCACAGTATTTGGGACGCCATTATACCAAGATGAGGCAAAATATAGCTGTCTCACCGTGTTATTGTTGATGTTATTGTCATCCTGCCATTTATGCATTCCTTTTCCTTCTCCTGTTACGTACGTTATCTCTCTCTCTCTCTCTTCTTCTTCTTCTTCTTCTTCTTCTCTTACTGACATTGAAACCGGTAGAGGAGAGGAAACAGCAGACAAATGGTGGTTTGGTATGACAGTTAGGCTTCGCTATGTTTCCTCAAATAGTCATATGTCTGTCGCCTGAGCAAAACTATATATACGAGCAGTGGCCAAGTTACATAGGGGACACCTTGCCACTCAGTCGGTGTGGGTGAAGCAGAAGCTGTGAGCGCGCATAATCCCTCGTGTCTCCTGTCACAGTGTGAGTACTGCCACACCTACTCACTCTTCCCGGTTGAGGTCTGATTAGTGCTGGGATACCTAGACAGTTTCCGGTGATTTAGGAGGAAACTGTTTCTTAGTTTAATAGTGGTGATCAGTGCGGTATGTGTCTGTCATGCGATAGATGGCATGTTTGTGAGGAAAAAAAAAAGCACAGTTTATCAAATATCTCTTTTTTGCTGGTGGTCCACAAGGGTGACAAACCAGGAAAAAAGTAGTGCTGAATTCTCTTCGACTAGATTTTACATTAACCTAAATAGGATTTTTTTATTTTCTTCTTTTCAGTAAGAGAAATCAGTGTATGAGATTGGTACAAGGATATGATGTTAAAGACCTTGTTGAAAACTTTGTTGTTTCTTGAGGTTCTTGTAAAGAAAACTTGTGATAATTGTAACGATACGGTTGTAAGTATAAATAAATCTTGGATAATTTAGTAATATAAATATCGTATTATGTTTAATTTAATAAAATACACCAGATAGTCCCATACGTAGTGAAGAGAGTGAAGCTGTTTTATAATATCACCAATTCGGGTAAATATGCACTTATTCTGAGTTACTAACTTTAGCATATAGCAACACAAACAATATCCTTCAATAATATAGTCGACCACGATAATTTAAATCTCTTTTAGTGGCCAAAAGTTAAATCTGCCGAACGTTTTGGTAGTTTTATATACTGAAGCTTTTGTTCTATATATACAATGGTATTATTTCAACAATAAACATAAGGGCTGGATAATGTTCAGTTCACGAATGGTCATATAATTTTTACGTTTCATTCTGGTCGTGTGTGTGTGTGTGTGTGTGTGTGTGTGTGTGTGTGTGTGTGTGTCTGTGTGTGTGTGTTCGTGTTCGAGTAACAGTTGTGTAATATTTAATCAACTTTATCTTCGGGTGACACATCATCAGTGCCATAATTATTGATCATTTACATTTCTACATTAAGTTTCATAGTTCACTTTGTCGTCACATTTTCTAACAGTTGGATCATCTTGACTTACATTGTTGCTTTGTCCAACAGTTAACTAAAAAACAACAAAATGTGTGACGACGACGCTGCTGCGCTGGTCTGTGACAACGGCTCCGGCCTCTGTAAGGCTGGCTTCGCCGGTGATGACGCTCCCCGCGCCGTATTCCCCTCCATCGTCGGCCGTCCTCGTCACCAGGGTGTGATGGTCGGTATGGGTCAGAAGGACGCCTACGTCGGTGACGAGGCCCAGAGCAAACGAGGTATACTGACTCTCAAGTACCCCATCGAGCACGGCATCATCACCAACTGGGACGACATGGAGAAGATCTGGCATCACACCTTCTACAACGAACTGCGTGTTGCCCCTGAGGAGTCCCCCGTCCTCCTCACTGAGGCTCCCCTCAACCCCAAGGCCAACCGTGAGAAGATGACCCAGATCATGTTCGAAACTTTCAGCTGCCCAGCCATGTACGTGGCCATCCAGGCCGTGCTGTCCCTGTACGCCTCTGGTCGTACCACAGGTATCGTGCTGGACTCTGGTGATGGCGTGTCTCACACTGTCCCCATCTACGAAGGTTATGCTCTTCCTCACGCCATCATGCGTCTTGACCTGGCTGGTCGTGACTTGACAAACTATCTGATGAAGATTATGACTGAGCGTGGCTACTCCTTCACCACTACGGCTGAGCGTGAAATCGTCCGTGACGTCAAAGAGAAACTTTGCTATGTCGCTCTTGACTTTGAGAATGAAATGGCCCAGGCAGCTGCGTCCGCTTCTCTCGACAAGTCCTACGAACTTCCCGACGGTCAGGTCATCACCATCGGCAACGAAAGATTCCGTGCTCCTGAGGCAATGTTCCAGCCCTCCTTCCTGGGTATGGAATCCTGTGGAGTTCATGAAACTGTTTATCACTCCATCATGAAGTGTGACGTTGACATCAGGAAAGACCTTTACGCCAACAACGTCATGTCTGGTGGTACCACCATGTACCCTGGTATTGCTGACCGCATGCAGAAGGAAATCACTAATCTGGCTCCCTCCACCATCAAGATCAAGATCATTGCTCCTCCCGAGCGTAAGTACTCCGTCTGGATAGGTGGCTCCATCCTGGCCTCTCTGTCCACCTTCCAGGCCATGTGGATCACCAAGGAGGAGTACGACGAGTCCGGCCCCGGCATTGTCCACCGCAAGTGCTTCTAAAGAACATTATGAGCCGACCTCTTTCCTTATAGTGATGTCGAACTGGCAATAAAATATATAATATTCATGTATGTGTATGTTCTTGACCATTAGGTGTTTATTGACACAATATGTTCTCAAACAATGGATTATATATCATTCAGAGGTTTATGTTTACTTAAATTTGACATATCCTGATGCACTCTGTGATCCAGCCTCGCCAGGTCAACAATGCTATACTATAATGTGTCATTTTCCTATTAAAAAGAATATTTGTATTTGTCTCGTCAACGTCTTTGTTTTTACTTTTCTACCTTCCTCAAATACAAGCAACATGTCATCGATGTTATCTTTTTCTAACCTTAGTTTCTTTTACATCAAACGCTTTATCAAATGTTTTATTTTTTCACCGGTGTCCACACGTCTGTTAGTTATAAAGAATCATATAAACATTTTCTTTAGTGGCTGTCATATGTAAGTTATGCGCTTTACTTTTATCACTTCCCTTATCTCAAGATGGTATTCCTGTCATTCAATCTTCTTTTCCACGTTTATATTATGTTGTGTTAATTTATCTCGTTTCTTTACAGTATATATGTGGTACAGTCGTAATTAATCACACACATCTACCTACGCACTGCTAGGAGTTTCAACTATACTGCGTCAGGTTCTATTTATATAAAATTAAGGATAATTTTCGATGAAATATATCTTTCCAGAGATAAGAAATTTTAAACTTAACTTCACAGGATCTGGACTAACTTAGTGTTTCTATAATTAATCATAAACTTCTGTTAATGCGGATGAATATACAGTAAGTGGTCACCGATTACAATGTCATATAACATAAACCCTAACCATAGTGTTGACGGGGAGTTGGATACCATGCAACAGATCTTCCTCTACTCCACAAAGACGAACTAAAAATTGCACTCAGACTATTAATGTCTCTGGAAAATCAATATATTTATTTTGATAATTATCAGTCATGTTATTTACTTAAAATTTGGTTATACTTGCAATTAAAGTGTATCCCATTGAGTATAATGACTTAACCCCTTGATTACAATGACACTATATTTAAAGTGTTATCATCGTACGCAAATGTATAAGTTGTCGTACTGAAGGGGATAATGTATCTGAGGTTTATTCCCTATATTAAAATACCTGACATGCTTTTGTTGATTTCTAGGACACAAAAATCTTATATTTATGGTTTTCTATAGACAGTAAATAATTCGTTTATTGTAGAAATTAATAATATTGATTTTTTTTAGAAAATTTTGTTGTTTTTAGCTATAAACTCCGATTCTTTTTGTATAGCTCACGTATTATGATGTAATCCATGGCTTGGCAACTCCACACAAGGAAGGCGTTTATCACTGTCTGACAAGAGCCCGACGAAGTTAGTTACTGTTAAGATGCCTCCTGAGCTACACTCTCTCCCTCTCACTAAGTCTATTGGTGTTATTAAATGCAGTGTTATCTAGAGCAGTTTTTAATTATATAAGAGAAGTATACATATTTACCACTTCACGTGTACTTCTTCTGTAAAAACGTGTATATTTTAATACTTTATGTAACCTTTATGTAACTGTTAGTGTTTATTACTTTTTTTTATTACTTTGAAATGCACGTAATATATGTATCCTCTTATAATAAGGTAACTGTAATGCATTTATTTATCAGCGAATATCAATTAAACTTTTATGGTTCTAACTTAGTATCCCTTTGGTCACGTTCTTCATTGCTTGTGGAGACTGGTAGAAAGATGTGTGGTTTGTAGCCACTCACAGGGAGATTCTTACGTTTTGTTAAGAATGGTTAGGGGAGACTATAAATAAACTGAACATTTAACTTGATGATTAAACTCTCTAACACTAGCTTGGGTTATGTTAAGTTTGGTTAGCGTTAGGTTAAGTTTGGTTAGTGTTAGGTTAACCAAGGTTTCGTTTGGTTATATTTTGTTATATTAGTGTTAGGTTGACGTTAGCATTAGCTTTAGATTAGGTTAGGTTTCATGAAGTTGGGTCCGATTTGGTTGAGTTATGTTGCGTTAGGTTAAGTTAGGATTCATAATGTTATTTTATGTTAGGTTGGCGTTAGTGTTAGGGTGGTTAATTAGGTAATGAAATTAGGGATGTGTAATCCTCAGGTGATCCTACACTATTAAACTATAAAGAACCTTCATACGCTTCCTGGTGTACAACAACCATACACTAATGCAACTATGGCCTTGGCTTTTAATTAATAATAATGAAAGTAATTAATGATGTATGACCCACATTTACAATCATTATAACAGATGTTGTAGTAATTTTTATCTTACTATGATCCTTAAGAAGGTTAGAATATGTTGAATAAGTAAATACGTATTTAAAAAAGGTAGACATTATCACCTCCGTCTCCTCGTGTTTTATCCTTGACGGCAAAGAATTCAGCGAATAATCCTGTATTATCAGTAAAATTTCAATACTATTCGTACAATATCGAAAATAACATTATCACCATCAACGTATCGGCCACCTCAAGTATGAAACAAAAGAACAAATGACTTATGTCAGAACACCGACTCATCCTGACGTCATTGCAGTGTAGCTTGACTATGTAATATGCAACGACGCACTGCCAACAGCGGTACAGGTAACGATGGGTAAGAGAGGGCTGACGCAAATGACAGGTACACAGGTATTCATCTCACCTCTCATTAATTAGTTAAGGCTTGTGGAGAAACCCTTTTAGACTATCAGGAGTATTGGTTTTTATCTTCCTTTCGTTCACCTAAATTATTATTGAACTATTAAGTCATTAATAGTAAATAATAATACATTGACAGCTGTATTATTATTATTATTATTATTATTATTATTATTATTATTATTATTATTATTATTATTATTATTATTATTATTATTACCGCAATGAAATCAACTTGGAGACTTTGAAGATTCCAAAATGTGTTTGAGGAGTTTGTTCATTATCGGCTTTTGTCCGTGGTTCACCAGAGGCCACCGTCAGGAGGCGGCTCAGTGTGACCACCAACCATTCACCGAAGTCCTCCTCCTCTGCCATCAACATCGGACGTCCATCTTGGCAGCCCCATTATTCAACATCGCGTTCTTGGCAACGACTCGAAGACCAAATAAACTTATATGGCAGTGACAGTCGGTGAAGATATTATATTAATTGTGGAGCAGATCGCCAGGGTACCACTTGGTCGCTGAGGCCGGAGTCGACTGAAGAGGAGAGGTGTGGCAGCCAGTGTGTTGCGGTGGTCGTGTCTACTGCGGTGAGTCTCGCTTGTCTTCACCACCATCCATAATGGATAATACAATGTAACGCATACCTGAGCTGCTACGGGTTAACCTGTGTACACACTGGGCCAAGTGTTGAGAACAAATATCAAACAGAGGCTTTGATGTAATCGTTTAGCATCTGACACATTTCCAGTGAGTGTATTTGTTTATTGTGGCGGCGGGGCGGGGTGGGGCGGGGCGAGCGGGGCGCGGGATCTTACAAAGGATATACAGTATTTCTAAACAAGTTACCTTCTCTACCACACGAAGATTATTTTTTTTATTCTGATGCTAAAAGAGAATTTTAAACTCATACTCTGGATGTTTACAACTTGATACAGTGAATAGCGATGTTTCAAAATAATGTCTCGAAATGCGGTGGATACAAATAATATTTTCAATGCATCTTCATTCAAGTTGTCTTAGTTCTCCTGGATAAAAACTATCGCATAAAATTTCCTCTGCCCGCCATTATATACAAAAATCAATACAATAACTTTCCTTCATGTTATGTATTAGAATGGAGCTATTCGCGTATATAGATAATAACAATAACAATCCATAGTCACCTGAAATGCTCTTGTAAGGAAATACAATTAGCTTCAGTTATGTACTACTTAGTGTATAGTCAGTCCTCTTGGTGTAGTTCTGGTGTGTGGATGAACGTTTTCTCTGGGGATGAACGTTCCTTTTTATAGTATGGGTGAACATACTTTTTGTGGTAGTTCTTCTATATTGGTGAACGTGTTTCTTAATTTTGATTTTTTTCGTATGTTTGTGGTGTATGGATGAACGTTTGCCCTGGTACTGTGGCGTTCTAACTAATTACTGGGTCTGGCTCGTGAGGTGTGGACGATTAATTCCTCGATTACGTTACCACTCGTGAAGTCTCTGGGGTGTAACTCACTAATAATTATCTTCTTAGGAATAATTTTTTAATATGTAATTAACTTTATCGGATCACGTGATGATTAACTATGCTGACGATACCTAGGGGGGTTGGATCAGTGTTTGGTTAGGTTAGATTTGGGGTGGTTAATCTTCATATTCTGCTTCGAGTTTTATTTTTTCACGTTTCCTATAATAAAGGGGATTCCTTTCTTTCCTGGTATCTAGATATATGTTTTAACTCCTTCAGATCATTAGTTGTTTAGATTCTCAACATGTTACAAACTGGTGTACTTTCAATAAGGTGTGACCTCTGACATATGGTGTGACCTCTGTCGTATAGTAATAACCTTTGACGTAGGACAGGACCTCTGACGCACACACCACGTAAGGTACCGCTGGCCACATATGTAACTCCGGGTCTAAATATAACAGGTCAAGAGAGTGACAGGTTGGGAGGCTCCGTGGACCGCGACTAATGAGCGCTAATGTAACAACTCACAGTATTAATATATAAGTGTGTTATGTCATTGTTCCAGCTGATGTAACTTACGCCGCGGCCATTTTCGTCCGCCGCTATAAATATCTGGATAATTTGTAATAATTGGTCTCTGTATTATCAGTTTGTCTTGAAAATCTATAAGAAATAAGTATTTATTTATTTTCATTATACCTCAATGTGCTCACACTCACCAAGTTGGAGTAAAGGGGAAGAATTTTGACGGCTTTTTTTCCAGTCTTACATAACTAGTCGACATTCTCACAAGGATTCTTGATATCACGAGTCACAACACACCTGTGTGATATCTTTCATTTAAAATACAATTTCCTATTCTCTCTCAGAGTTTACTAAGTTCTACTTGATTTATTAGATCAGTTCTTCGTGTCTGTGGCTAATGTTTATTATCATTCTGCATAATTATTATGTTCAAGATAGGCCACGAATTAGAACATTTGTGTTTACATAGTAAAGTTTTATACAATAAAAATATTTAAATCCATTCTATAGTCCTTCGTTCTTTATAAATTACTCAAGCATGGATTATATCTCCAGTGATACTATCATTGTGTACTACTTCCAGCACGCATCAGGTTATTATTTACTCAACAACAGATGTCCTCATCAACAGCTCACCGGTAACTCGATTCGTTCACTGAATTCTACAGTGTTTCGTGGCCGGTGCTGTAAAACTTTATATTTAAAAAATCCCAGATATGAATATTGGTGCAAAAGAAACCTGAACATAATTCAGATGATCCATGATGAAGTCTGAGTACAAGATAGACGTCACTATTGCGGTATTTGTGCGCTTATAAAAGGCGTAGTAAAAATATGAAGGGTCCTATGTAAATCTGTGTGTAGAGCCAACAAAATTTCCGGTATGCTCATTTGAAAAACAGAAATCAATGCCTTTTCTTGTCTTACAGAACTAACATCATAATCCATCATGTGTGACGACGACGCAACAGCGCTGGTCTGCGACAACGGTTCCGGCCTCTGTAAGGCTGGCTTCGCCGGCGACGACGCTCCCCGCGCCGTATTCCCCTCTATCGTCGGCCGTCCTCGTCACCAGGGTGTGATGGTCGGTATGGGTCAGAAGGACGCCTACGTCGGTGACGAGGCCCAGAGCAAACGAGGTATCCTGACTCTCAAGTACCCCATCGAGCACGGCATCATCACCAACTGGGACGACATGGAGAAGATCTGGCATCACACTTTCTACAACGAACTGCGAGTTGCCCCTGAGGAGTCCCCCGTCCTCCTCACTGAGGCTCCCCTCAACCCCAAGGCCAACCGTGAGAAGATGACCCAGATCATGTTCGAAACGTTCAGCTGCCCTGCCATGTACGTGGCCATCCAGGCCGTGCTGTCCCTGTACGCCTCTGGTCGTACCACAGGTATCGTGCTGGACTCTGGTGATGGTGTGACTCACACTGTCCCCATCTACGAAGGTTATGCTCTTCCTCACGCCATCATGCGTCTTGACCTGGCTGGTCGTGATCTCACCAATTACCTTATGAAGGTCTTGACAGAACGTGGCTACTCCTTCACCACCACAGCTGAGCGTGAGATTGTCCGTGACATCAAGGAGAAGCTTTGCTATGTCGCTCTTGATTTTGAGAATGAAATGGCCCAGGCAGCTGCCACAGCATCTCTAGAGAAATCCTACGAGCTTCCCGATGGTCAGGTCATCACAATCGGCAATGAACGTTTCCGAGCACCCGAAGCCTTGTTCCAGCCCTCCTTCCTTGGTATGGAATCCAGTGGTGTTCATGAAACCGTATATCAGTCCATCATGAAGTGTGATGTTGACATCAGGAAAGACCTTTATGCCAACACCGTCATGTCTGGTGGTACCACCATGTACCCTGGTATTGCTGACCGCATGCAGAAGGAAATCACTACATTGGCTCCCTCCACCATCAAGATCAAGATCATTGCTCCTCCCGAGCGTAAGTACTCCGTCTGGATCGGTGGCTCCATCCTGGCCTCTCTGTCCACCTTCCAGACCATGTGGATCACCAAGGAGGAGTACGACGAGTCCGGCCCCGGCATTGTCCACCGCAAGTGCTTCTAAATTGCAAATCTATTTTACTTAAAGATAAATCAGAGGCTCTTGTACTGTTTTCATATCAATCACGATGCAATTCATTATTGCCTCTTAATATTACAAATGAGGAAAATATCACATATATTTTCATCTACATATTTTCACATCTAATAATCAGTCAATATCTCCTCATGCACCCATGAATTAATGTTCATACAAATCTAATAACTAATAACTGAAACAAAATTACTTGTGTCGAGAAGTCAATAAATTCACTACACCTCGAAACTGGTGAGAATGAGTGACTGTCATATGTGAAACTTGTGTTTGAAGTTACTGTAGGTGGTGAAGATCCCTTTCTCTTTGTGTTTCATTTTATATTTAAATAAATATGAAATATAAAATGTTAAATAAATGTAACAAAATGGAAGAACTTGTTTCCTTCATCATCTTAAAATATTGTAGATAAGACTTGTCTGAATAAGAGGACCATTATAACATATACTGAGTCTACATTAAAGAGATACCTTCCCCTAACACCAGTTATGAGATAATATTACACTGAGGCTTAAACAGACACTGAGACTCTAGCAGACACTGAGACTCTAGCAGACACTGAGACTCTAGCAGACACTGAGACTCTAGCAGACAGATATAAAACAGCTCTTAAAAGGTTAAAAAGGTTGAGTTATGCTTTATGCCTCACCTGAGTATCAAGGCAGAATAGCTCACCTTTTTCATGCCTCACTTTGATATTTGAGTATTAAGGCAGGATAGCTCACTTCTCAAAAGTTCCAACTCACTCAAGAAACTTTAAAATATTTGGATGCTATTTCTCAAACGTTGGTGTGTTGAACTTCCATCTCCAATGTACATAAAAGGTTATTAACCCCTTGAATGTGATTTTAACTCCATGATTATGATAACCACAGAAGTAACATGAATTACATTATCGAGTAATAGTATCTTGACTCGATGAATACGACGATCTATTTCATTTGAGTAAGATAACAGTGCACTCAAGGGGTAAAGACTTCATCTCAAGGGGTTAAGTCATCGTGCCCAAGGGTCAAATCATTGTACTCAAGGGGTTAAGGCATAGTTCTCAAGGGGTTAAATCATAGTACCCAAGGATAGTGTCATTGTACTCAAAGGGCTATGAGACGCATCTAACTGTCTGAGTTAAGTTTTATCAAAAAATATATAATGTATTAAAGGCGATCAAAAACTGCAATGAGACTCTACCTTGACTAATACCAGTTAGGAGACAAATTTTTGCTGAATCTTTACCTTAACTAGAAAAGTTCTCTTAGCACCAGTTAGGAGACAAATTTAATTGACGGCATATTATATTTGTGTGTTTAAGGGTAGAGGCTGTCTGTATGTAATAATAATAATAATAATAATAAACGGTTTATTAATAGAGTTGCAGCCGGTGGCTGAAAATAAACAGACTTACATTTAATTTAGACATAATGATATAATATGCATTGAATACATTTACAGGGCTGTACAGTACATAAATCAGGTGTTGTTTATTATTTTAACAATAGATAGGATGGTGCTGTTCTTATATCTATCGGTGCGGGCTCTTATGGGCTGAAATTTGTTGTAGTGGCGGACTGTGCGAGTTGGGTGGGGGGGCTGCAGGTGGCAGGAGGTGGCGATGGCGAGGGTGGTGCAGTAGTCCACTGCCAAACCTTTCCAGTGCTTGATGGTGGAGGTCACTGAGGGATGGCATTTCCAGGGTGGAGAGAGCGTTGGTGTAGCTGCAGCATTCTGCGCCGAGCATGATTCTGCAGGCCCTTTTCTGTACCTTCTCTAGCTGACGTTGTTGGGTGGAGTTGAGAGAAGACGACCAGGCTGGTGACGCATACGTTAGTTTGGGGAGAATAAAGGCGCTGTAGATGGTCCTCAGCTCTGGCGTGGGTGTCCCAAGTGACCAAAGTCGTCGTAGCATGTAGAGACGGTACGAGGCTGCCTTGACTGTGTTATTTACATGGGCCTTCCAGTCAAGTTTGTTGTCTATAGTTACACCCAGGAGTTTGGCAGACTGCACCAGCTGGAGAGGATGGGCACCCACTGTGACTGCTGGGGCTTGCACTGGAGTGGTGGCGGTATTGATGTGCATGACTACGGTTTTGGTGTGGTTGATGGTGACCTTGTTCTCCGTAGTCCATGCCTGTAGCCTGTCCAGGGTGCCTTGTAGCGATGAGTAGTCTGGTGCGGTGTTGTCCACTGAAACCCCCACAGTGCAGTCATCCACGTACTTCCACCTGTGAGGAGTGTCCGATAGAGCGTCGTTGATCAGGATGAGGAAGCACAGTGGTCCCATCTTGGTCCCCTGGGGAACACCGCAGGTGAGGTGTTGGAATGTAGAGACCAAGCCCTGATACCTCACTGCTTGGCGACGTCCACTCAAGAAATCAGTGAGCCATGAGACCAGGTTGGTGGGCAGCCCTAGTGCAATAGCCTTGTTGATAACAGTGCAGTGATCAACAAGGTCAAAGGCCTTCCTGAAGTCCACAAGGGCAACGGCCAGTGATGTCTTACGTTTCTGCAAGTTTTTGTGCAGAAAATCCAGAAAGCTCACCAAGCAGTGTGATGTAGAGGAGGTCCTCATATTGCCAAATTGCTGTGGATCAATTGACTGATAGATACTGGCAAATGCCCACTCAAAAACAAAGTCCTCACAAAGTAGACTGGGTATGGGGGTAATGGCAACTGGCCTGAGGTCGTTAGGGGACTGTGGGGTGGTGACCTTGGGGATGGGGGTGACAAATGCGGTTTTCCATTCATTAGGGCATTTGCTTTGTCTGAGGGATGCATTAATAATAGAACAGAGGGGGGTGGCAAGTTCGACTGCAAACTCCTTGTATATTTTGATTGGGAGGTCAATTGGGGTCGTGGAGCGTTTGGATTTAAATTTCAGGAGTTTGTTGGCGATTTCATATGGTTGGACACTGGGAGGGGGGAGGGGGAAGGTAAGTAAGCTGGGAGGAGAGTGAGGTCAAGACTGGGTAAGGTATGACATATGGTAGCAAAATGGTTATTAATTATCTCAGCTGCCTCCTCACTAGGTAAATGTGAGATGAAAGGAAGTGTGGGAGACTGACGGTTGAGACCACAGAGATCTTTTACCTTGGAGTACCACTGACCGATGCCGACTTCCTTGAGGCCGTGCACTTTCCTGGGATAATAAGTCTTCTTGGCAGACTTGATTTCCCTGATGACCTGGTTACGTAGACTTTTGTACAGGCGGTTGTTGGTGTAGTATGCCTTGTTGCGCTGCTCAATAAGTCTTTTTATGCGGGGCGTAATCCACGGGACATCATCGGGGTGGATCCTCAGTGTTTTGGCTGGAAAGAAGTGGTGGTAGGCTTTGGTGATAGTGTCCAGGTAATTATCCCACTTGTTCTGCACATCGTCGACCGTGATCACTTCAGTCCAGGGATACCGGGTTATCCATTGTATGTATGTATGTATGTATGTATATGTGTATGTGTGTGTGTCTGTGTACTGTATGTGTATATATTTCCTATTGGATTCAAGTAATAAACAGATCAAAATATGTTGTTATTATTCTTCAAGAGGACACAAAACATCCATGACCGCATGACCGCATTAACATCAGTCACAGCAAAGTAAACATCCGACTGACGGGTTTATATATTGCCATTTATTATGTTTTCCTCCTCTTCCCCTTAAAATGATTAGCAACACTTTCAAGGCAGTTTGCTCATGTCTTCGCCAGCTCCTATAGGTGAGTTACTAGCCTGTGACGTGACAGTCTGAGTGTAGAATTGCTTCACACTTTTTTCCCAATCTTAGGTTTATTAAGGCGACTTTTTAGTTATGCTGTTACTGAATAAAAAAAAATAATACTGTCCTTGTTGTCATTAACTCTTTGAGGACGATCGTACTCAAGGGGTCAAGATATCGTACTCAAGGGGTTAGGTTACGTTACGTTACATTGCATTACGTTAGTACTGGATAAATTTTCAGCATCAGGACTGTGGTAACTAGGAGCCATGGCTAATCAAAGCAACATAACCTCTAACCTTGGAGATCTCTTCCTCCTCCTCTAGTTGTTGGCCAAGATCACTCTTATGGTCAGACAGTCGATTCATACCTCACTCATTTATTACCTCGTCACTCATGCCTGTCCCTCCCCCTCTATATTCTCCCTCTCGCCATGTCTTCTCTCCACCTTTCCCTTTTCTTCCTTTTCCTCCTCCTCCTCCTCCTCCTCCTCCTCCTCCTCCTCCTACATCCTCTCTCCCCATGTACCCACCACCCACCCACCACCCACCCACCCACCCACCTCTTGACACATATATGGGCAGCTGTCCCTCACGGTATATATATATATAATAACAGTCGTGTCACTCCTCGCTGCCCACCAGTACCACGCGGAGGGTCACCACCACCACACACCCAGGTAGGGCTTGCAAACACTCACCAAACATTTCTCTCATTAAGCACAAATAACAAGTACGGGCATTAAGTACATATACACAATTAGTTATACGTTACAGGTATAAATTTAGACACAGAATATGAAGACATTATTGAGTTAACTGTATAAAGTGATTACAAATATACCTAAATGAACGAAATAATCTGTACAGGTATAGAGGAAATGTTCACGTAATAACTGTATAATTCGGTACCTTAAACTTAAGACTGGAAAATGTATGAAGAATATTTTAAAGTGTTGGAATGTTATGGCCGATGGTCTTTTGTTTATAATCTATATAGAAAAGAAATTTCAAGACTTTGCTTATAACTTTTTTACTTTGTGACGTATCTGAGGATTTTCAGAACTTTGTTTATCAATTTATAATTAACAACTAAGTGGGAATTCATGTTAAGAATCCCCATTTTCTTGTTAATTAAGTTTGTCCACTGTTTACTGAGTGTTTGTATGAGTAAGACATCACACCTTGCATCTTATGTGTCTCTAATATGCTTTCTTAAACTGCAGGAACTTAATATAACGATAACACACTAGAGTTACATTCGTGTCTTCTGTTTCGATAATTTGTTTTAATGATGACTCACTGACGTCAGCCACATATATTTGCATCATCAGCCACACCTGTATCGCACCTGTGTTAATGGACCATCTGGAACACATGAAAAGATTCAGTGCCACTGTGGGAGAGAAACTGTTTAGCGAATTTATGATAACATGGAAATTAAAATTAACATGTAAACATATACGTTCAGAAAAAGGTAAAAAATAGCTTGTTTCCTGATAGTAATTTTGTAACTAAGTAACAATAATTACTATTCCCGTTGTTTTGTTCTGTTGTGTGAGATTATTTTTGAGGTATTAATGGTCGCAAAATTAATCCAAAAGTTTCGTAAGTATGAAAACATTCCTATTACTCAGTGATGTCGCAGACATTTTAGTGACAATATCACTCCTGGAGCTTCTAAACAAGTGAATGTTGAGAGATAATGTCATCATGTAGTTATATATGTTTACACACACACACACACACACATGAAGTTATTGTTCTCATTTAATCTATTCAACTTTTCATCTCAGGCTTATAATTCATCATGTGTGACGACGACGCAACAGCGCTGGTCTGCGACAACGGCTCCGGCCTCTGTAAGGCTGGCTTCGCCGGTGATGACGCTCCCCGCGCCGTATTCCCCTCCATCGTCGGCCGTCCTCGTCACCAGGGTGTGATGGTCGGTATGGGTCAGAAGGACGCCTACGTCGGTGACGAGGCCCAGAGCAAGCGAGGTATCCTGACTCTCAAGTACCCCATCGAGCACGGCATCATCACCAACTGGGACGACATGGAGAAGATCTGGCATCACACCTTCTACAACGAACTGCGTGTTGCCCCTGAGGAGTCCCCTGTCCTCCTCACTGAGGCTCCCCTCAACCCCAAGGCCAACCGTGAGAAGATGACCCAGATCATGTTCGAAACCTTCTGTGGTCCAGCCATGTACGTGGCCATCCAGGCCGTGCTGTCCCTGTACGCCTCTGGTCGTACCACAGGTATCGTGCTGGACTCTGGTGATGGTGTGACCCACACTGTCCCCATCTACGAAGGTTATGCTCTTCCTCACGCCATCATGCGTCTTGACTTGGCTGGGCGTGATCTCACTGACTACCTGATGAAGATCATGACTGAGCGTGGCTACTCCTTCACCACCACAGCTGAGCGTGAAATCGTCCGTGACATTAAGGAGAAACTTTGCTATGTCGCTCTTGATTTCGAAAATGAAATGGCCCAGGCAGCTGCCACCACTTCTTTAGAAAAGTCCTACGAACTTCCCGACGGTCAGGTCATCACCATCGGCAACGAGCGTTTCCGTGCTCCTGAGGCTCTCTTCCAGCCTTCCTTCCTGGGTATGGAATCTTCTGGTGTTCACGAGACTGTTTATCAATCCATCATGAAATGTGACGTTGACATTAGGAAGGATCTTTACGCTAACAACGTTCTTTCTGGCGGTACCACCATGTACCCTGGTATTGCTGACCGCATGCAGAAGGAAATCACTAATCTAGCTCCTGCTACTATCAAGATCAAGATCATTGCTCCTCCCGAGCGTAAGTACTCCGTCTGGATCGGTGGCTCCATCCTAGCCTCTCTGTCCACCTTCCAGGCCATGTGGATCACCAAGGAGGAGTATGAAGAGTCCGGCCCCGGCATTGTCCACCGCAAGTGCTTCTAAATTCAGATGTGAATCCAAGATCCCAAACAACTGTGATGTATCTCTAACATTTATGCACTATGGTTCCTATCTCATCAAGTCATCTTCCTTCATTCTGTGGTACTGAAGACAGTGTAACCTTCAGCCAACACATCTTACTCGAGGATTGATATTGTTCTGCATCGACATTTCATCTAACCATCACTGGTCAAAGTCTATCTCAACATATCATCATAAAATGTATTTTTATAATATGAAAATCGCTGTCAGGTTGATGTTTTCCAGACTACCATTACCCTTCTTTTTATATTTATAAATGAATTTTATATATAACACCTCTCCCGCACCACACCTGTACCTGGGAACTGATGAATCTCCTGTTACGTGGCCACTGTTGTTCCCCAAGAATGATTTAATAAATATTTACAACAAGTTGTACATTGTTACTAAATTCTTGTATGAAATATACGATAAATTATTGTTTTCCTATTTTCACGGAATTTTTAAATATATTAACTTCCATAAAAAAGGTTTTTACTCTCATTGTGGACAAAGTTTAGAACAAGATGTTGTGTACACTGACGTTGATATTTCACAACTAGATATTGACTGATACTTTACTTTGCCTCTATTTTCATGTCGAATCTTTTATGTATCGTCACTATGAAATATTGTCTTACATAACCTTGTAATTCAGTCATCTTCAGAAATTAAACCTATTGAGCAACACCAATAACAGATATAGATACAATATACTGTGTAGGTCCGTCCTGACATGTTTTGGTAGGTAGAAGTAGAACTAATGGTTAAGAAGATATTAGAGTCATATGTAGGGCGGATGACTACTGGGGAAACCAAGATCAAGGTGCAGGAGTCAGACCACCATCACGGTATAGCAGAGATGACCCTCTTATCCCTGACACACATGACAACTGTTCAACTGACTCGCTTCTTGGTGTAATATATTCTTCATTGTTAAGTGAAGAAAGAGTCCTATAATCCTGTAGGTCTTTGTAAAGTTGGATAAACGAGGAATACTCCAGGATCGAACCAGCGACCCCTAGAACAGGAGACGAGCGCTGCACCCACTCGTACCATAGGGATACAAGACACACACACACACACACACACACACACACTGATAATATCTTAAAAGTTATCATCATTTCTTACACTAAACTAAAGGGAATAACTCAACTCGCAGGACACTCTGGGTAGTGTCTATTGGTTTATCAAATGTCAAATGGAAGTTGTCCAGCTATTGACGGTCTAGACAATTTCTCAGGAGCGACGTAAGGAAGTTTGATGTTCATAATCTGGGGAGTTTTTTTTTCTGTTAAACTGATATTTTTAACACTTTTCTTGGAATATGTTAACATTAGTTGTATTGAAATGTTGTGGTTGGATGTTATAGTCTTGTCATGTCGGAGGAACAACAAAGTGTGTCGCATAGAAGATTTATAATTAAACAAAACTTAAAACTCTAATTGTGTGTATATTTGTATATGTGACAAATAAAGGGAAACACGAAGGGTTGAAGAGGGGGGAAATGGAGGAAAAAACCAAAGAGGGAGGGATAGAAGGAGGGGGAAAGAACTATAGAGGGAAAAACCCAAAGGGGAGGGATAGAAGGTAAGGGAGAAAGAACTATGGAGGGAAAAGACCAAAGAGGAGGGTAGATGGAAGGAAGGAGAGGTCATATTCCCATTTATGGTATCAGTGGGGTCCTGGCACCACACCTGAAGTCACGAGGCACTTGATATTCTGCCTCGAGGACCACCCTGGCGGACTACACAGGCAGGTAAGGCTAGACGTATTAATGCCCCCTTTATCTGTCGACTCACACGCTTCAAGAATCACCTCTAACCTTCACTCCTTGTTGTTGTATGGGTCGCCGGCCAGGTTACATGACGCTCTAGAGGCTATAAATACGGGTAAGTGGACATGTGAGAAATGAGTTGGTTATCTGACGTGATGTTAGATATGGCAGGAGGGGGAGGGAGAAACGCTGGTGGAGAGACAGACGGGAGAAAGAGAAGGAGATACATTAGTGAGAGACAGTAAATGATAAATGAAGAAGAGAAGTTGAAAGAATAGAATAGAAATAAAGATGATCTAGAAGTAAATGGGGTAATGTGAGGAAAATTTAATGTTGAGAAAGTCTGAATTGGGAAGACGGAGAAGAAAAACGATGAAGGCAAAAACAAATAAGGGAAGGAATGACAGTGAGAAGTGGCAGGGAGGGAAGGAGGGAGGGAAGGAAGGAGGGAAATAAGGAGGGAGGGAGGGGTTTGTATCATATACTAATGCCTCTCGGCTCCCCTGACATGTTCCGTCTTCTGAGGTACTTGAGTTTGTTTATGTATCAACTTGGTGAAGTGTAGTGTTGGCCAGATGACCAGCGAGGCTTCTGATGTGACGCACAGTGTGGATGGCTTATTATTAAGGGTAAATTTTTGTGTTTCTCTCTCTCTGGTGATAAATTCCCCGAAATTCTCGCTTTTTTAATAGAACATGAACCCTAGATGGACCATGAGAGGGTAAACTACTCCAAATACAAAAATCTCAGGGTGTCGGACTCAGGACACTACACATGTACATAGTTCTTTTAAAACTTCATCCATATTGTGAATCCCCAGAGTGAACTATCTACTTTTATATTATCTTCCTCTCACCTTCCCCTGATCAATCCAGAGTCTGTCTATCCCTGTGTCTATCCAGGAGGTTGGATAGTGCTGAGCCTCATCCAGCCATCTCTATCCTTCCACTGTTGAAACATGTTATCCATTTAGAAGTATTTTTATATCTTACTCTACCTTGTTAGCTAATTGCCCCCCCTCCCACCTCCACCACGTCCTGAATATGGGATAAAGGAATTGATGTTTTCTATCTGTGTGTCTGTCTGTCCGAGATTGTAAACACGATAACTCGACCAATATGGATTCTGACGATTTTTTTTTTATATACGAGTCACACAGTACGATCCTTATATGACTTCAATAATCAGATGGTCTTTTTTATTTATTTTTGTTTTTTTTAGTCTTAGTTGTAAAGAGTCATTGCGGCACACTTGACCACAACCACATCGAAGTAAATTTTACGAAGTTACGCCAAAGATCTTAAAAAAAAACTATGTAAATATGTGTTATTAAGGCCTTGCTTCTTAGGTGGCGGGGGTATGTGTTATATTACTGCCTTGTGTATAATTGTTTTTATTTTTCATACCATTTATACAGTTTTTATTTACTTTGATTTACTTACACGCTCACTCATCCCTCCCGCTCCTAAAGTGAGGGACGAGATTCCTATGCTGAGGCGCTGGAACAAGTATCTCAATGCTTCTGGAGTCTCCGGTGGTTTCATTATGCCTAGAACTCAACTCATTCAGTAACTTCAGGGCCATGGTATCCCTGGCTCCGAGAGTCTATGATCATGTTGGGATAAAGTGATATTCGTGGCTCAGGTTCCTGTACAGTGCCTCGTTCTGGCTCTCCCTGAGGTTTGCTGCACTCTCCCTTCAGCTTCACTGTTGGGGGAGGTAAGTAGACGCCAGGGTGGAAGACTATGTGTAGTCCCATCCAAGAGGTCAACGTGTTTCCGTCTGGACGCTTGTTGTCGGATCTATAGACCTGTGATTCTCTATGTGCTGGACAGCTCGCAGTTGTCAGCCTTCCCTTGATGGTGGCATTAGCTTCATTATGTCTCACATAGCAACTCCTGGTGTCCAAGCATACGAAGGCTTGACTATCGCGTTGGTCTGTCCTCTCGGTTCCACAGATACACTCGTAAACATTATGAATAGCGACCACAAGACGAAGGGCTACAACTACATTGAGAGTCAGGGGATCAAGGCGAATATGTAGGAGACAGTCCTCCTCTGAGGCGCTGCAACATTCTGCTGGACACTTAAGTCTCTGGCTGAGATCATTGTTATCCCAAAACCGATGGTTGTTTGATCCTATTGAGAAAAACAATAAATATTTTCGACCAATCGGCAAGAAAATGGACATCATCAAGGCAGGTCATAGATCGCGATACAAGATGAAAACACTTAACATTCAAAGGCTTGTCTTCGGATCTCTCACTGTCACATTCGAAATTCGTGGACGAGCCGCTGTCATGACCAGTGTATTAGACAATGTCTTTTGCCAGTCAGTACACGTCAGTCATCCACTAAAATAACAGTGAACCTCAAAACCTTTTATGGAGTTGAAAGTTACTTGCTGGTCTCGGCCTCAATGTCCAAATGTCACTAAAACCCCAAAGAGAATAAATAATAACTCGTTATCAGCAGCTGTTTTATCTATTGATCAAAACATGTCATCAGAGGCCTCGATTTATGAGGCCGGTAGGTAATTTATGCTAAAATTAACCAACCTGTAAATGGCGTCCACCTGCTACCTGCCGAGATAGCAGGTGAGGTACTCATGTGCCAGGCAATTTGCAGATGACACCTCGCCCCAGAGCCACCCAGACCTCTGACTCACCCTCGGGGTAATCGTCACGCAGCCAAGATTGATAACCCATTGATTTGGCAAATACTCTTTAAGTGGCTTAGAAGAGAAGTATAGATGCACACCTCTTGTTCAGCACCCAGACATCCTACTTGACAAGTCATCCAGTAGAGCCGCATCCGTCAGTAGCCTCCAATCAGTCCTCGACCCGACCCCACCCACCACCACCTGCCTTGCACATATGGAGACAGTATATATAGCACCGTAAATCATTAATACTGGTGAGGCCACAGGTCGACCCAGCAGTCTTACCCTGAAGACCCAAACGACCGCTCCTCCAGGTAACTGCTCTTACCTCCCACACACACACACCTGCACCGAGTCCCCACCTGCTGCCGGGGAGGATATGTGTTAGTTCTGTGATGACAAAAAGAGTTATGCCTCTATATGAGAAGTGATGTTTGTAATCTAATGGATTCATACTCTCTGTCATACTCAACTCACAGATGACCGAAGGATTCGTCTTGCTATTGACAGCAAGTTGTGGTAAACTGTAGCTGGGAAAATTAGAAGTCAACATTCTGTACATTAAAGTGATGCACAAGAACTTAAGATTTTAAGAGTATTTCACAAATTAAAATATGGTGGCGTAACCAACTATGTGTTGCCTGTGAACGAAGCTGAGATGAATATACTGTATATATAGTGAAACCAACATGGCGAAAGGAAGACGTATCAAAAGTGTTAGCATAAGAGAGGAGGCGAGGAGACTGGCGGTCGTTGTTCACGCGGTTTAAGGAGTGAGGAACCTTTAATAAATCTTTCCACAGTGAATTGAAGCTCAGATACAAGGCATTGGTTATTGTGAATTATTTTTACTGAACTCATGTTAAAATCAGCTGAGTTTATTATATTCGTAGTTAAGTGTTGTTTGGAATTAACTACAAAGGTCTCAGTTAAATGACAGAATTATTATATATTATAAAACCTAAACAAAATAAAAACAAACCACATCAGATATAGACCACAGTAAACTTAGTTCGATAATTTGTAAGAAAATGTAAATTCGTTTTAAAAAGACTTTCACATACACAAATAAATCACAATTATACGAAAACAATGATGACCATTTCCCTCTGCACAATTTATTATTTAAATGTTTATATTATAAATCGTGAGAAAAATTTATACTCCAGACTTCTATTGCACCATAACAACTGTGTTTATATTGTGAAGTAAAGCGCTAATATTTAAGACAAATCCCGACACTCAAGTCAATAGAAGATTTGAAATTAGAAAAAAGTCCTCAAGCGGTCTCTCTTTGCGCTACAGTAAGAGTTTCTCATCAATAACATAACACACGAGGCTTTGTTTACATAGGAGGAACGTCACACACCACACAGAACCAGAGACGCGAGTGAGAATTCAGATGAAAAGTGATAAACTACTCAGGGAAGTCAGAGGTTGGCGGGTAGGGCGGGCCAGAGCTAGCTAACTTCCTCACTACCTCCTTCCTTTCCTTGCTCTCTACCACCCTCCCTCCTTCCCTAGTGAGTTAACGCCTGAAAGTTTTTAAAAAAAACTTGACGCATCTAGGAGCTTAGAAGTTTTAATTTTTCTCAAGTATTAGTGATATTAATACGCTGAAAAAAAACATGATATGTACAAGAAGATTTCCCCTTCATGTATTCTAATAGTTGTAAGGAATTAAAATTAGTTTGATTGAATCGAAGACCAAAAAAACAACATTTAAAACTAAACTTGTTGTTCATTCATATTCTGAGTACTGGTAACCAAACATTTCCAAAGGTATGTTATTAGTACAAACTTTAGTACTCAGATTCTTCATGATAAAACATATATACTGTACTTATATATTAATAAACCTCCCGGGGAACTTGATAAGTTAACATTTTCACGTTTACTGATTTCAGCAGACCACTTGATACACTGCCATCATGTGTGACGACGACGCAACAGCTCTGGTTTGTGACAACGGCTCCGGCCTCTGTAAGGCTGGCTTCGCCGGCGACGACGCTCCCCGCGCCGTATTCCCCTCCATCGTCGGCCGTCCTCGTCACCAGGGTGTGATGGTCGGTATGGGTCAGAAGGACGCCTACGTCGGTGACGAGGCCCAGAGCAAGAGAGGTATCCTGACTCTCAAGTACCCCATCGAGCACGGCATCATCACCAACTGGGACGACATGGAGAAGATCTGGCATCACACTTTCTACAACGAACTGCGTGTTGCCCCTGAGGAGTCCCCCGTCCTCCTCACTGAGGCTCCCCTCAACCCCAAGGCCAACCGTGAGAAGATGACCCAGATCATGTTCGAAACTTTCAGCGGTCCAGCCATGTACGTGGCCATCCAGGCCGTGCTGTCCCTGTACGCCTCTGGTCGTACCACAGGTATTGTGCTGGACTCTGGTGATGGCGTGACTCACACTGTCCCCATCTACGAAGGTTATGCTCTTCCTCACGCCATCATGCGTCTCGACTTGGCTGGTCGCGATTTGACCGACTACTTGATGAGGATTCTCACAGAGCGTGGCTACTCCTTCACCACCACGGCTGAACGAGAAATTGTGCGAGATATCAAGGAAAAACTCTGTTACGTAGCTCTCGACTTCGAAGGAGAGATGGCTCAGGCTGCTGCTTCTACCGCCATTGAGAAGTCGTATGAACTCCCTGATGGACAAGTTATTACTATTGGTAATGAACGGTTTCGTTGTCCAGAGGCTCTTTATCAACCATCTTTCCTGGGTATGGAATCCAGTGGCGTTCATGAAACTGTTTACCACTCTATCATGAAGTGTGATGTTGACATCAGGAAGGACCTTTATGCCAACACCGTCATGTCTGGTGGTACCACCATGTACCCTGGTATTGCTGACCGCATGCAGAAGGAAATCACTACATTGGCTCCCTCCACCATTAAGATCAAGATCATTGCTCCTCCCGAGCGTAAGTACTCCGTCTGGATCGGTGGCTCCATCCTGGCCTCTCTGTCCACCTTCCAGTCCATGTGGATCACCAAGGAGGAGTACGAGGAGTCCGGCCCCGGCATTGTCCACCGCAAGTGCTTCTAAATTACAATTTTGTGATATACCATCCCTTTTGCTACATAACAATTTGTTCCTGTAAAGCCAATTGTCATTTCGATCTTGGTGCCTCAACTTCCAGCAAGGTATAACCCACATTGGGTGGTGAGGACCTCTATTATATCTTAAATAACGTTGTTATGCGGTTGTGTACCATCGATTAATTCCTAAAATAAAACAGTATCCTAATTATTTCAGATCCTTTGTTTTTTACATCATGTTCTATGACTCTTATGTCTGTTTTTGTTTTCACTGGTATATAAACATTCACTTATTACATCCATGTGGAGAGATTCAAGGTAAATGTAAGTTTTATATACAAGTCAACCTTTCAGTGATATCATTGCCCCAAGAAATATATTTATCCTTTTCATCTTCCTTGAATGTATCATCCTACTTTTAGAGATAAATTTCAATAAACACCTTCATCTTTCTTAAGTATACTTGATCATTTTACACAAAAATCATCTTCGTTTTTACAATTTCTTGTTCCAATAAGAAATGTGATATATACGAGTACTTGTTTAACCTCGTGTCTGTGATAGCGGCATAATCGTTGCAGGTGTCTTTGTCCAGGGCAGCGCTACAGGAAAGCATTATTAGAGGCATATTATTTTGAGATGGTCCATTGTTAAGTGAGTCAGTCCAACAATCCTTCTGTTTGTACACAGTAGGAAGAAGCGTTGTCCTCGAAAACCTCACACAAAGGAGACTTTTACTCTTAATTAATTGATGGTTTGTGCTTGATTTAACTAATAGTAGACCTTTAAATATATAAGTTTTAGAAGCGTAGTAATACATACATCAACACAACACTGGACCTTCTAGATAGCTTCAAGTGTCAAGTACCTGCGGCTTTATTTCTCTTGGCTGCAGGAGGCTGAATGTTACCTGGAAGGAAGGAGACTGTTTTACCAATACCGTGATCTGATCCTTCAACATCATTGGTGTATCCCAACTATCAGAGAATGGAAACAAATTAGGAGTTTGTTTAATCCATTCAGATGTTATGTTACCTATAAAAGGACTTTCTGACTGTTGTGTTGCTTAGATTTCAGAAATTAGTCGAAAATATGACGTGTAGGACAATTGTGAGGTCATGAGGCTATATCATGAGCTTCACCTGACCACAAGACAACCTGAATGACTCTAAGACAACATGAATAAAGTATGAAATTAAGCATGACACCCAGACTGGATGACATGAAAAGTGGATGGCACCTTGAATGGATGAATTCCAGAGTGAGTAACATCCAGAATATGATTGGCACTCGAAGGGGATGTTATTCAGATTTGGATGACCTCAATAGTAGATGAAACCTACAACGATTGACATTAAGAATAGATGATAGACTGAATGGATAATTTCCAACGTGTATAACATCCAGTGAGGAGGGCAAAAAGGGTTATAGGTCACCCAAGGCAAACCAGAGGAAATAATGTATATCAGAATTTAAATAAAGATGTTTATATAGACTAGGGAAACTCATACCCACAGTCATTTGTTTTTTCAGCTAAACGACTCAGGAATCATTTTTTTTTTATTTGAAATGATTTAGAGATAATTTTACTGGTTCCCAATATCAGTTAACTCTCCTCCTCCCCCTCTTCCCCCTCTTCTCTCTCTTCCTCCCCCTCCTCCATCTCCTCCTCCTGTTCCCCCTCCTCCATCTCCTCCCCCTTCTGCTCTTCCTCCCCACCTATTCTTCCTCCCCCTTCTTGTCTTCACACCAGACACCTAAAATACTATAGCTTGGTCTCAAGGAAACTGGACTCCTTGCCTCCAGTAAAGTAGATCCTATTACTGACGGCTAAATACCAGGAGAGTATAAAGGGTAAACAAGCATTAGGGGGAACAAATTCTGTTTAACATAATCATTGACTTTTTATATTGAAGTGAAGTCAATGTTTCTTCCAGCAAGTTTAGTTTTTATCAGTATTCTATATTCAACAATAGTGACGTCGACGTTTCTTCCAGGGGCCTAAAAAAACGTGTGTTTGTCCATCATTGAGGGATAGTGATGATTTCTGACATGTGATGGAAAATAAACTAAATTTGATCATAATGAACTAGCGCAACTCCCTACCTTAGTCTTCGTCACTTAGTACTCTTATAAATATGATCCGTCAAACGCCTCACAACTTACTCTTGAAATATGGATTTTATAGCAACTGGGATTCCTCGGGGAAATCATGAAGCATTAATAAGTCTCGAAACAGTATTATTAGGTTAAAAGACCTGAACCTTCAACCAATGGACACCTACCTTCCCCGGCCCTAAGGTATAGTTACTCTTCTCACCCACTACAGCAGAGAGCAGTTTCCTACCATGGGCTTCAGATGTAATAACGTGGAATTTTCATATGGATTTAGGTACTGTGTGTTGGGTTCACGAGACTACTTGACATGGAACCACTGTTGAAAAGGGGAAGAAAACACAAATCGTATTCATGTTTAAAACTTTCTTGTGTGTTGTCTTTTATAGGTTGTCAAATAAAGAAAAATGCAATCAATAATTCATAAAGAATAAACAGAATAAAACAACAGAAATAACTTAATAGAAAATAATAACAAAGGTTAAAAGAACTAAAAAGGTTATAATGTGCTTAGCATCTTTAATTAATCGAGCATAAAATACTCATTTCTCTAGAAGCACTTGCGGTGGACAATGCCGGGGCCGGACTCGTCGTACTCCTCCTTGGTCACCCACATGGCTTGGAACGTGGACAGAGAGGCCAGGATGGAGCCACCGATCCATACGGAGTACTTACGCTCGGGAGGAGCAATGATCTTTATCTTGATGGTGGAGGGAGCCAGATTAGTAATTTCCTTCTGCATGCGGTCAGCAATACCAGGGTACATGGTGGTACCACCAGACATGACTGTGTTGGCGAACAGGTCCTTCCTGATGTCAATGTCGCACCTCATGATAGAACAGTGTACGGTCTCATGAACACCAACAGACTCCATACCCAGGAAAGAAGGCTGGAAGAGAGCCTCAGGAGCACGGAAACGTTCGTTGCCGATGGTGATGACCTGACCGTCGGGAAGTTCGTAGGACTTGTCGAGAGATGTTGATGCAGCTGCCTGAGCCATTTCATTTTCAAAGTCCAAAGCGACATAGCACAACTTCTCCTTGATGTCACGGACAATTTCACGTTCAGCTGTAGTGGTGAAGGAGTAGCCACGCTCAGTTAAGATCTTCATCAGGTAGTCAGTCAGGTCACGACCAGCCAGGTCAAGACGCATGATGGCGTGAGGAAGAGCATAACCTTCGTAGATGGGGACAGTGTGAGACACGCCATCACCAGAGTCCAGCACGATACCTGTGGTACGACCAGAGGCGTACAGGGACAGCACGGCCTGGATGGCCACGTACATGGCAGGGCAGCTGAACGTTTCGAACATGATCTGGGTCATCTTCTCACGGTTGGCCTTGGGGTTGAGGGGAGCCTCAGTGAGGAGTGTGGGGGACTCCTCAGGGGCAACACGCAGTTCGTTGTAGAAGGTGTGATGCCAGATCTTCTCCATGTCGTCCCAGTTGGTGATGATGCCGTGCTCGATGGGGTACTTGAGAGTCAGGATACCTCGCTTGCTCTGGGCCTCGTCACCGACGTAGGCGTCCTTCTGACCCATACCGACCATCACACCCTGGTGACGAGGACGGCCGACGATGGAGGGGAATACGGCGCGGGGAGCGTCATCACCGGCGAAGCCAGCCTTACAGAGGCCGGAGCCGTTGTCACACACCAGCGCTGTTGCGTCGTCGTCACACATTTTGTTGTGTTATGATGTAATCACCTGGAGAGTAAATTAATATGTTAAATACATTACTAGAGTAATTTTTTTATGATTTTAACATTACCTGAATAAAATGGAAGGTTTGTGAAGTGAAAAGTAATGCCTGAATCAGTAAATAATAGGATTACACGAGTCATTAAAGTCTTTCTGCTTCATTTACAGAGTAACTTTTTAAAGTTTTCGGTAATCGTTAGGTTAGGATGCTAATAGGCATTCCTTATGGTGGTGATTCCCTACCGCCACACTATTGTTTAATATTGATGCGATTTTATGTATGTATGTTTTTATATAATCTGTCGTGTGTGTGTGTGTGTGTGTGTGTGTGTGTGTGTGTGTGTGTGTGTGTGTGTGTGTGTGTGTGTGTGTGAGAGAGGAAAACTCTGATACAGTATAAACTCAGTAAAGCAATGACTGTGTCCCATTGAAGCATCACCATTTTGTCAACAATAATATGTCAAGGTAACTCTTCGGCTATAATGAGTGTATGACTAATAAAAACTCGAACTGTTACTTAATATATAAGTAAGTTTATTCATTTTTTTTTATTATAACCATATTTTTTTTTTCTCTTATAACCTTGCATGAAAATACAAGTTTATCTTTTTATTGGAGGTTGTTTGTTATTTGTCTAAGTATAAATCTTGTCTTAAAAGGGCGGGGTGTTATGAATCCTTAGTTGAGGTGACTCGTAATTAGGGAGATTTCTAATGAATCAGATAATGGTAATTTCACTGGCGCTCATATACATCAATGTATACTGTATTCATTAAATTCTATACATATAACTTGAATTATTTTGTTTTATGACGTAAATTTTATATATTGTAAGATATTTCAGTTAGTTTCCTTTACTCATAACAGCCATTACACTTGTTACGGTTGTTCCGGTAAAGAATGCCAGAGGACTTTAGTTTCCCGCCATCCACCTGTCTGGTAGAGAGACACTCGATTGATCATAATGGTCGGCTTAACTCCAGAGTGTGGTCGACTGCTGTGTGTCGGAGGTGCTTCCACAAATCTCTCGGTGGTGTCTGGTTGATCTCCCTCTTGTGTGGCTGACCTGTATTCAACTCAACAGATAAGTTATTAGTGTTGTTATTGTTTGTGATTTAGAATGTTTATGTAAGAATTTAACTCGCGCTATCATTCTATTTTGTCTTGTAATGATTTTCGTGGTAATTGTTTTCCCCTTCACAATTAAACAACATTCGACCTATTGAAGCTGCCCTACATCACTTAGAACTGTAATATGATGTTTGTGTTTTAATTTACACATCCAAAACATCAGTCTGTACTCCAATGTTTTCTATACCAGATAAATTATAAAGACCATATCGAGGACCACCCGTAACGCTTAGGCATAGAAAACGATCCACTACATAATGATATATTAGAATGGTAACTTGGCCAAGAGTCTCTGTAAACACACACATACTATATAAGGTGGTACATAACGCCCAGCACAGTCATGACGACCAATAATAACACTCCTGCCATCTGTTGATCGTGTGCCAAACTTTATCACCGGACTAGTTGCCAAGTGTCATCACGGCATCTAGACATTCGCCTCTTTGTATGTCTGACGTTATAGTGTTATTACTGCGCTTCGGCAAATAAGGTCTTTAAGTACGTATCAAGTGTAGTAATTAAACTAGTCCATTAACAATTAAAAATCATGAGAAATAGAATTTTGGTTACATAGATCATCTTTCATTTTAATGCTACTTTAACCCTTGGCATAGAATCTAACCATTAGTGCAATAACTTTAACCACGAGGAGCTTAAAAAAAAAAAGTTCAATAGAAAATATGTAGAAATTTGGTTAATGGTTAAAGGAAGGTGACCAGGAGGTGTTCTAATTTGGGTGCGTAGCTGTTTGTCTCAATATTCCTGATCAGATATAAACATTTGTAATCCATCTGTTTAATAATGTAATTTATCTGGTAGCCGAGAGATAGCTGGTATCAGATTAGTCCTGGGGGTTAATATCGCCGACGTTAACTGTATTATCTCTTCCTCCCCACTACCTCCCTCCCCACTACCTCCCTCCCCCTCCCTCCCTCCCCCCCCTCCCCATCCTTCTGTACAACTGGAATCTGTTCTGTCTTACTTCTGACTAAATATTTTGAATCTGAATATTAATAGATTCCTTAATACCCTATCTTGCTCTCCCCTCCTACCCTCTCCAGCCCCCTCCTGTTTTCCACCAGCCCCCTCCTACCCTCCCTCAGCCCCTCCTACCCCCTCCCTTCCTCACAACTGTTTTTCTTTAAATGTTTCCTTTAACTTTATATAAGAGAACACATTTATCTCATTCTACAATAACTAAACAATATGGTAGTTTGGGTGGCTTCCCAGTAGGACAAAGACTCTAGTATGGTAACTAAACCTGTCTCTTGTCGTCAGTTTATGGGGACAATTGGAGTGGAGTTGTCTCAGTGATCCGGAGGTGGAGAGTAGCGGTGTCTTCTGCCCACGAGCGTTTTGTGTTGTGGTGTACGAATGATTAATGCGACTTTTGGTATAATAATAATAATAATAATAATAATAATAATAATAATAATAATAATAATAATAATAATAATTAGAAGAATAAATAATATCGATCAAATTAATTATATAAAATAATGCTAATGACAGTTTTTTATGCTAATATGATTGTTACTAATTATATCACAAATAAAAACGAGTTTTAAATTATAATTATGACACTGATCACACTAATAACACTATAATATTATATAATGATAACATTAGTAATCAAAATCAGGATAACCATAATGAAAATAATAATGATAGAAGTAATAACAGTAATTAGTGAGTTAAATCACTGTCCACAATAAGTCATAATAAAGATAACTGCTGAAGGTGTGATCCTCCGAGCCCTGAAGTTCTTGAGGCGGCGACAAATACAACACTGAGATGCAGCTTTATAAACACCTCGACTTGAAGACTTTAACATTGATGCTGTCAGCTACAAACGTTGATGCTATCAGCTAAACGTTGATGTTGTCAGCGCTAAACGTTGATGTTGTCAGCGCTAAACGTTGATGTTGTCAGCGCTTAAAGTTGATGTTATCAGCTACAAACGTTAATGCTGTCAGCGCTAAACGTTGATGCTGTCAGCTACAAACGTTGATGCTGTCAGCTACAAACCTTGACGCTGTCAGCAACAAACGTTGATGTTGTCAGCTACAAACGTTGATACTGTCAGCACTAAACGTTGATGTCAGCAACAAACGTTGACGTTGTCAGCTACAAACGTTGATGCTGTCAGCGCTAAACGTTGATGTCAGCAACAAACGTTGACGTTGTCAGCTACAAACGTTGATGCTGTCAGCGCTAAACGTTGATGTTGTCAGCAACAAACATTGATGTTGTCAGCTACAAACGTTAATGATATCACTTCCAGTTGACCACTAATGACTAATTATTGTAAAACGATCGTGATGAAATGGCTGAAACGCTTATTTATAAAACAGAAGCAAATAATAATAATAATGATAATAATAATAATAATAATAATAATAATAATAATAATAATAATAAAATGTGTATTATAAATTCCATCCAGTCATAAAGTATTACCGCCTACACTTACTGACTCCACACACAAACGAGGATCTTATGTTTTATGGACAATATCTACCCAAAGCCCATAGTTACTGGACACATTAGACACAGGAGTTACTGAATTATATCTTAATAGAATAAAATTGAATAAAACAATTTATTTAAGCCGTGATAATTACTGTATGAATGTGGAGCTTTATCAGGTGTAATGTCACAGTGATCACGGGAAAAAGTCTTTGAGGTGGATGAACTGCTACTAAATTATGTTTCTTGTACACGAGGGTAAATATATTGGTTCACATTAACGAGTCTTAAAGGATAGTAACATGGCGATGATTTATCCTTAACAAAAAAATAAATATACATTACAACTTTTCAATCGGACAATCAAGTTCTTAGATCATTAAAGATTTTAAGAAATTATTGAGAGTTGCTGTAACTAAACTGTTCTGTTGTGGATGTAACTCAGACACCATAAAAAACAACAGTGGTTTTGAACGTACACAGTAAGGGCAATAAACCAAGTACGGTCTTAATAAACTTCTACTGTACGTTGTTACTTAAGTCTCAACGCACTCCATCTGTTGTCTCTACTTTGAGCGCTTACACAACAATCTTCTCTAAGATTCTCAAGTAAAAAAAAAAATATGAGAAAATGCAGCGCACGCGACATATAGATAACAGATGGCGTGATGTTCACTCTAGCGCTCGTTACTTGCGTCACCTGATAAAATGCTTCCTTGCCTGATGAAGATTATCTCGAGATGTGCTGTAGATGTGACCACCGACGCAGCAGAAGGGGCGCCACGGTTCGAGCTCCTCAGCGTCGGACCTGCCGTAGTGAGCCGTACTGGACGACTGGCCTTCTACCAGTAATTCGCGTCTCTGTCATACGTCGTATATATATTTTTAGCCGAGCCTTTTGTGGGTCGGCAACAGGTATCGGGGCTGCCAGGGTTTGGGTGGACTGTCATGTCATCTGAGCCCCGAGATATAACATCCCAGCCACGTAATTAGTGGTTTCAAAGATAGACTCTGCTATGCGCCCTAGATGTTTTTTTAAAAGTCTTAAGTTACCACTGTCCTCCTTAAGAATAGTCTGGTCTTGATGCCTAGCTGAGGAGATACACAAGATTCGATATAGATCATACCCAGGAGGTTGTCGACGACATTTCCCCTCGGGTATTACCCCCAAGAAATGCCGGAGTGTCAGAAAGAATGATGACTGCAGAGACATCCTTCCCTGACACCTCCTCCACGACTGGCTATTGTAACGCTCCTAATCCGACGTATAGCGATACATAATACTCTTATGATGAATTGATATTTGTCTATAAATTACTATGGTGAACTGAGGTGTTTTTATAAATGATTACAATAAACTGTTCCTGTATAAAAACAGTAAGTTACGTCAGCTGGCAGTAGCGAGAGGTATCATAGCATCACGATATCGTGTTTCTCGCTGAAGGGAAAAACGTGTTGTATATTAACCTTATCCATCACGGTTTCATTAGCAAAAACTTGAGCTAGAATAGTAGGGTACTGAGCCAACAGGGGTACGATTGTCAGAGAGGGGGGAACGAGTGGGATCGAGTATGTTAACATTTAGGGGACTTTACGATAGTTGCTCGAGGGAGGTTGGGTGAAATTATATTTAGGAGTGATCATCGTTAACATGACAGCCAGGCGGGAACATGTACACCAACAAATATTTCATCGTACAGTTAAATATACCAACTCGCAGGTATCGCTGTGTTGGTACATCCGGACAAGTAAAATAAGATTAGTGTAAGACTGTTTATTTATCACTTGTATGACAACGTTAGACAGAACCATACATAACAATGCAAGTTTTCTATGTCACTCGCAATGGCCTGTGCTTCACTTGTTAGTGTTGGCAATAACTTTAAGATTTAAGGGACAATAACAAAGAGAAGAAACGTTTGCCAAAAAAATACATAGCAAATGGCGTAATGTTTTTGAGGGATCTAAATGAGGGAATTAGTTCATCAAGATGGAAATATTGAACAGCTGCAGAATAACTGAGAGACAGACAATCATGTTTATGGGAAAAGATGGAAAATGGAAACAGGTAATAATTGTTTAGTAGAAAATTTAATGGGATTTTCCTTTCAACACGGAACAAATTTTTATCTCCAAAGTCAAGATTTCCTGAAACACTAATCTAGGTTTTTACATCTTTCCTCTTAGCTTTTCTGATCTTCGTCTCTAAGGGTTCATTACGTCTTAAAGGTTCGCATACCGACCCTCATGAAACATTAAATTCTTCATTCATTTAGTAACGAATTCAAGTTTAGGAACAGAGTGTAGTGTATGACAGTGTCCTCGTGAGCGCCGGGATTCTAAAAGATGTAAAGATTTTGTACAGATACAGACAAAATTCCCTCAACAATTTCAACAATACCTGACACATCTATTTACTTCGATATTTCGGTTCATTATATAACCTTAATTTCGTATTGTTGTTCTGATAAGCGTTGATTATATATAAATAAATCCCAAATATGACCCAGAAATAGATGCCAGATTTTGATTAAGTGCTCAGGGAATTGACCTCAGCCAGCACCTGATTTAGAAGTTGAGGGAGTGCAGTCGATCGAGTACAGTGTCAATCAAGCTGTCTCCTTGTGTACCGGAAAACCACACTACCTGAAGAGAGAGAGAGAGAGAGAGTAATCTAGATGTTATAAACTCATTATAACTATATATTGTGATGTTACCTACGAGACAATTATTAAAACTCTTAAACTATTTTAGTCGTTTAAACTGTTATACTTTTCAAGAAAGATAAAATCAACATAGACCGTTAAACCCGTTCTAGACCGTTAAAAGCGTTATAGTTCGTTAAAACCGTTCTAGTCCGTTAAAATTGTTCTAGACCGTTAAAACCGTTCTAGACCGTTTAAACAGTTTACACCGTTGAACTGTTCTAGACCGTTAAAATTGTTCTAGACCGTTAAAATTGCTCTATACTGTTAAAACCATCTCAAACTGTTAAAACTTCTCTAGACCGTTAAAACGGTTCTAGACCGTTGAACTGTTCTATGCCATTAAAACCATCTCAAACCGTTATACCCGTTCTAGAACGTTAGTCATCTGAGAGACAGATTTGGTCAGGTGGGGGAGAGGAGAACGTGGCCCTCCCCTCTCCTCCCCTCCCCTCCCCTTCACTACCCCCCCTCCCCTCCATTACCCCCCTCCCCTCCACTCCACCTCCCCCACGTGATATACATTGTCATTTTCATTGGCTCATCCCCTCCCCTTCCTCCTATGTGTAATACGTTATTATTCTCATTTGCTTCTGCACTTTTCTTCTTCTGCCTCTTCTTCTCTTTCTCACTCGTGTTATACTGTTATCATAGTTTGCTTCTTCCCTCCTCTTCCTCCTCCTCTATCTATCTTTATTCATTTTCCTCAGTGGTATGTGGAGCCCCCTCATATCTTACACGTCACGGCTTAAGGACGCTTCTCCCACAATATTTCAGCTTAGTACATCTTAACATTACTTCAGCTTAGTCAAATGACGTCTCACTCACGATATTTCAGTTTAGTACATCTTAACATTACTTCAGCTTAGTCAAATGACGTCTCACTCACGATATTTCAGCTTAGTACATCTTACCATTACTTCAGCTTAGTCAAAAGATTTCTCACTCACGATATTTCAGCTTAGAACATCTTAGGATTGTTTCAGTTTACGATATCTTTAACAAGGATGTTTCGAGTCAGATGTTTTTTCCTAATATAAATTAATCTGACTGAGCTAATGTGTTCGGAGGTAAATGTGTCTTTGTTTTCTCCGTTGGGTCATTCAGGGTTCAAACATCTATAGGTAAGATGTCCAGTTCTGAAATTCTCAATGTTGAATGCTAGAAGTTGAAATGTTTGAGGGTTGAGAATTCCCATATTAAAATTTCAGAAGATTGGAAATGTCCGATTCTGAAACATGCGAGATTGAAACATACCAAACTAAAACATCCTATCACCCATTCTCCACCTCTTCTCCTCCCTCGCCACTTACTCAGACATCTCTCATTACCTCTATTCGTGTTTATCTATCCTCTCTCGTACCCTTGTTTACCTACCACTTCTCCGAGGCATCTACAAACATACACCTGTACCTCCCACTTATTAGTCACCCCCTCCCCACCCTCTCCTCTCTGGCCTCATTAGTCATTGAGTGTTTTCTTTGATATAAATGACAGATTAAATTTTTTGGAGTGCCATAGATGCTGTCAGTAAGTATTTTCTTAGATAAGGATGTGATATATTGTTGAAGGAAATTAAAAAGTGCTTGATATGTGAATCACCTGAGCCCTAGTGTGTATGACTGTAGGTGCTTGGTATGTGAAGTTGTAGGTGTTTAATGTGTATGACTTCAGGTCTCCGGTATGTGAGGTTTCAGATGTTTGTTGTGTTTGACTACAGGTGCCTGGTTTGTGAAGCTTCAGTTCTCTAATTAGTAAAGCTTATGGCACTTAATCTTATACGCCCTTAGTCAATGAGGCTTCACGATCCTAATCACTAAAGCTTCAAGACGCTAATCAGTAAGGCTTCACGAACCTAATTAATGAGGTTTCACCATCAAAATCACTAAGGCTTCAGTATACTAATAAATAAAGCTTCACAATCCTAATCATTAAGGCTTCAAGACACTAATTACCAAGGCATCATGAACCTAATCAATATTTTTAGCTTCCGTATCTAATCGGTTTCGGGTACTTAATCAGGGTGACTTGAGACCATTAAACGGTAAGAGTTAATCTAGCTTAGTTTATGTTCGGATCAAGATAGTGAGTGCCAAGCTTGACGTGTTGATGGGAGCTATGAGAATGATAGCTGACGTTGATGGCTGTGTGTGTATCGTCTCCATGACACTAAACTGTACCAGCGACTGAGTTATACTACCATGATACTAAACTGGACCAGCGACTGAGTTATACCAAGGTACTCACTAAACTGTACCAGCGACTGAATTATACTACCATGATACTAAACTGGACCAGCGACTGAGTTATACCAAAGTACTCACTAAACTGTACCAGCGACTGAATTTATTTTAATAAGTTTTTTTTTTTTATACATTGGTTTGGTTAATGACTTGAGCTGCCAGTTCACTCTTTTTGTGTGTGTGTGTCACTGTGGAGTAATTTACGAGACTAATGGTGGTAGGGTATTCTTCTTCTTCTTCTTCTTCTTCTTCTTCTTCTTCATTTTCATTTTCATTTTCTTTTTCTTCTCCTCCTCATCCTCCTCCTCAACCCTCAACCTCCTCCTCAACCCTCAACCTCCTCCTCAAACCTCACCTCCTCCTCAGCCGTCAATCCCTTAGTTTTATTACTCTAAGACTTAATTAAAAGGTTAAACCATCATCCTCAGAGGGTTAACATATACCAGTTACCAGGCGTCGAGAAGACATCAGTTCTGGTTGGCTTTTGCAAGAACCTTCTGATTTTTATTTTCTATGTTTGGAAATTTTTACGTAATGGATTCAAGTAAACAATTCCTCAAGAAGAGTCATATACTTGGCATTAAAAGAGAATTAAGTCTTTAGGGTAAACGTGAAAACTTCTCCCCAGGTCAGAAATACAATTTACAGAAGAGTTAACTTAATTTTTTATTGTATTTCCTATGACATAAACATTTTCTTATATAAGAAATAAGATGTTACAAAAATATATAATGAGTTCCTTGTCAAGGTTGTATATTAAATAATGTAACGTTCTTGTACACATTTTTAAAGGAAGCAGCGGGTGGCTGGATAAAGAATGGACACCTAAAATTATAGCTAGGGAAGAGAAAGCATTTGAGTGCACTGTCCGCCACAGTGTCTCCTTGTGTAGCAAAATAAGTTTAGTTTAGTTTACCATATCCTCACTACCCTTAACTATCGCTCAGGAAAAGAGGTCCATTATTACTTTTCACACATTATCGGGAGATATCTTTTTATTAAAAGCACTTGCGGTGGACAATGCCGGGGCCGGACTCGTCGTACTCCTCCTTGGTGATCCACATGGACTGGAAGGTGGACAGAGAGGCCAGGATGGAGCCACCGATCCATACGGAGTACTTACGCTCGGGAGGAGCAATGATCTTGATCTTGATGGTAGAGGGAGCCAGTGTGGTGATTTCCTTCTGCATGCGGTCAGCAATACCAGGGTACATGGTGGTACCACCAGACATGACAATGTTGGCATAAAGGTCCTTTCTGATATCAACGTCACACTTCATTATAGAATTGTACACAGTTTCATGGATACCAGAGGACTCCATACCCAGGAAGGAAGGCTGTAAGAGAGCCTCAGGAGCACGGAAACGCTCGTTGCCGATGGTGATGACCTGACCGTCGGGAAGTTCATAGGACTTTTCCAGGGAGGAAGAGGCAGCAGCTGTAGCCATCTCGTTTTCGAAGTCAAGAGCAACATAACAAAGTTTCTCCTTGAGGTCACGGACAATCTCACGTTCAGCTGTGGTGGTGAAGGAGTAGCCACGTTCAGTTAAGATCTTCATCAGATAGTCTGAAAGATCACGACCAGCCAAGTCGAGACGCATGATGGCGTGAGGAAGAGCATAACCTTCGTAGATAGGGACAGTGTGAGACACGCCATCACCAGAGTCCAGCACGATACCTGTGGTACGACCAGAGGCGTACAGGGACAGCACGGCCTGGATGGCCACGTACATGGCAGGGCAGCTGAAAGTCTCGAACATGATCTGGGTCATCTTCTCACGGTTGGCCTTGGGGTTGAGGGGAGCCTCAGTGAGGAGGACAGGGGACTCCTCAGGGGCAACACGCAGTTCGTTGTAGAAGGTGTGATGCCAGATCTTCTCCATGTCGTCCCAGTTGGTGATGATGCCGTGCTCGATGGGGTACTTGAGAGTCAGGATACCTCGCTTGCTCTGGGCCTCGTCACCGACGTAGGCGTCCTTCTGACCCATACCGACCATCACACCCTGGTGACGAGGACGGCCGACGATGGAGGGGAATACGGCGCGGGGAGCGTCGTCACCGGCGAAGCCAGCTTTGCACATACCTGAACCATTGTCCACAACCAGAGGAGTGGTGTCATCGTCACACATTTTGTTGGTATCTGAAAGAAAGAGAAAACTTTAGAAAAATAAGAAGGAAAAATTACTCAACATTTGAAAATAACTATACATTATGAAACAACCAGCACAGTATACAGCACCAGGGCCAAAAACCAATAGTATTCCTCCTTGGCCAGAGGTTGTATTATTATTTACACAAAATATCAATAATGTTCCTTGAGCAGAAGTTAGGTTAATGCCAAGAGCCAACGGACCCAAATTTATTGTTTTCCCACTTGACCTACAGGTGTACAATTGTACATGTAATAAATTTTTGCGTTAGTCTTTGTTTCGTCATTATAGCATTGTGTGTCTTCCCTTTGTGGGCCAAATTGTCTATAACTACTTAAAATCCAAGCTTACAATATCTGTCCTAAACCCTCTTTCTTTTAACCCTGAAATAAAGGAATATACTAATACTGTGCCGGGCCAGTGTTATTGTCTTTCCTCATAATTAAGCTTCTTCGTATCGTTTGGGAGGCGAATAAAGTAGACTGACTCGTGAAACTGTCGACGGCGAACAAGAGTCATTGTTAGGTGATCAATCCCACACTTACTGGGTGTGTCTACTGAGCGGGTCTTGCTCTTAAGTATATACATATTCCCTACAGTGGAGCATATACACAGTCCACACACAGGAGCATAAACGAACACAGAGATTCTTCACGCTAGAGCATGTAAGAGCATATAATTATACATTCCTCAAGCTGGAGCCTATGTACATTCCTTACAACGGATCATATACACATTCCTTTGCACTGGAGCATATACAAATTCCTTTATACTGGAGCATATACACATTTCTTTACACTAGAGCATATACACATTACTTTGCACTGGAGCATAAGCAAATTCCTTTATACTGGAGCATATACACATTTCTTTACACTAGAGCATATACACATTCTTTACAATGGAGCAAAAACATATTCTTTTACACTGGAGCATATACAAATTTCTTTAGACAAGTACATATACACATTCGTTTACACTGGAGCATATATACATTTCTTTAGACTAGATCATATACGCATTCCTTTACACTGGAGCATATACACATATCTTTAGACTAGAGCATATATACATTCCTTTTCACTGGAGCATATACACATTCCTTTACACTGGAGCATATACGCATTCCATTACACCGGAGCATATACACATTCCTTTACACTGGAGCATATACACATTCCATTACACTGGAGCATATACACATTCCTTTACACTGGACCATATACAATTCCTTTACAATGGAGCATATACACATTTCTTTATACTGAAGCATATACACGTTTCTTTACACTGAAGCATATGCACATTTCTGTACACTGGAGCATAGACACAATCTTCATGCTGGATATACACACATTTATGCACATTGGAGCATAAACACAAACTTCACCTCGGAGCATATGCACATTTTTACACTAGTTCGAATACATATTCTTCTCGCCTCTACAAACATATATCTCTTACACTGGAGCATAAACATAATCATCCCACCGGAGCATGATAGCCTTATTCACGACAGAGCATACTTATACGGTGATGTGGAAGCGACGGTAACTGCCACAGACACTTAAGAAGGGAAAAAGACAGAATGCATGGAAGTCTGGTGAGGTGTGTGTGTGTGTGTGTGTGTGTGTTTGTAGTGACTATGAGGAGGTTGTGTGGGTAGACATTGCAAGTAGAAACTGAGGATATGAACTTTAAAGACAAAAAAATACTACTCTGGTATTGGCTGATGGTGGAGGGTGAAGGAAAACGTCATGTGGATAGAGACTGGTGACGGAATAAGACTCACCTGGAGGAGGAAGGGTAGAGGGTCTGGCGGCGTCCTGCTGGGTAGTGAGAGGAAGGTGTCCTGTGCCTTACTGAGGACTGAGTGGAAGATATTTTTAGGAATATCCCCTTCTAAGTCCCTCCCTCACGCCCTCGTCTCCTTTACTCTCTCTCTCTCTCCCTTCTCTTATCACCCCTTTACCTTCCTTCCGTCCTTCCTCCATCTCTTAACCACCCCTTAGTTCCCTTATTTACCATCATTTCCTTCATATCCCTGCTCCTTACCTCATCTTTCCCCTTTCTTCTCCTCCCCTTACCATCTTCCCTTGATCCTTACTTCCCTCTCTCCCCCCACCTTCTCTCACAACTCTTCCCTAACCTCTAACCCCTTAACTTGTAAATATATCGCTAATTCCAAAACTTTAAATTGCAGCTACTTAAGGCGTGTGTGTGTGTGTCTCCCCGTCCACTACCGCGTCTCCTGCTCTATCTCCGCTTGGGTCTTGAGTTGTAAGGGCGTTGTCTAGTGTGGCCCCGAACACAGCAGGCTTTCTTAGGGTACTCCAGTTTCCTCTTGGACTAACACTGGATATATGGGTGATGACTCGCACTGGATTTCTTACTGCATTTATTAATCCATCAAAATATACATACTTGACCGAAGGGTCAAGACGTACCTGGCGCTCCTCTCGGAGCAGCCAGGTCAACTGTTATGTTGGCCCATACCAACTCCCTCCCCTGAACCCTCCTCCCCACCGGAATATCAACAAGTTCACGCCAGAAGTTACTATTTCATTTAGGAAAGAAATGGAACCAGTGTTAAACAGAGGTGAACAGTGGTGAACAGTGCTTAAGTCAGTGAGAACAACTCAACAGTAACAGTGGTACCCAAGTTGACCTTTCACACAGTGAGGTCCCAGGTACCCAGTGATAACGGCCCGTGAGACCCAACTACCAGGATGTGTTAATCCGTCTACGATAGGAAGGCCTGGAACCACACCTCACTCATATAACACCATCTGTGAGGGAATTACTACACCACGTGAGGCCCCTCATAACACCATATGTGAAGGAGTTACTACACCACGTGAGGCCCCTCATACCACCATCTGTGGGGGAATTACTACACCACGTGAGGCCCCTCATAACACCATCTGTGAGGGAATTACTACACCACGAGAGGCCCTCATAACACCATCTGTGAGGGAATTACCACACTGAGGCCCCTCATAACACCATCTGTGAGGGAATTACTACACCACGTGAGGCCCCTCATAACACCATCTGTGAGGGAATTACTACACACGTGAGGCCCTCATAACACCATCTGTGAGGGAATTACTACACCACGTGAGGCCCCTCATAACACCATCTGTGAGGGAATTACCACACCACGTGAGGCCCCTCATAACACCATCTGTGAGGGAATTACTACACCACGTGAGGCCCCTCATAACACCATCTGTGAGGGAACTACTACACCACGTGAGGTCCCTCCTAACACCATCTGGGAGGGAGTTACTACACTACGTTTTTGCTGTTCAACATCTACATTAATCTGAATGTTCACTGTATGTTCCTTTACCTTTCTCTAATGAAGGCTTTTGTTAAACCACCAATGTATGTAATAAGTCATTTATGCCCAATGTATATTTTCAGCCTTCGGGCTGCAGAACTTTTTCAATAAACCGTTAATTACATTATTATTATACTGCGTTAACACACTGATATACAAGTACACAAGCAAATGCACGCAAACTCAAGGACACAGTCACACACACACAAGGACTCACACACGCAAACACGCACCGTACATAGAGACATTCGCGCTTAACCACACACGAACACAAGTACTTACACACAGTTGGTATACATAATCGGTATGATATGGGCTAGCCAGTGGTACTTCTCTACACCTCAATATGTCCACACAACATCTTGGTCTGCCGTTGTGGTTCTCATTTCTCCTCATCTACCTGGTATTGTGTTACTTACCATGTACAGAAGATTAATGTGTCTCAACCAATCAACAGGTTTATAAGTATTGAAAATAGACACAGGACCGGTTGATTCCGTTGTGGGTTTACGGATAAATATAAATTGGTTTTACTAGAAATTTTCGTGGTGTTAGTTGCCATTACAGTGATTGATTAAACTCAGGAATATCTTCACTTTTATGATGCAGGAAAGTAAGACGTTAGTACTAGTAATCGTGGCTGAGTTATTGTGTAGAGGTGTCGCGTGTCGTCTGTTACCAGCTCGGTTTTACAGTTCGTGACTTGTTGATCTTAAATCCACTTTATGTGTTTCGCTTGTGTTATATCACTTCTAGGTAGATTGTCATTTAGGATTCAATTATTATGGATAATTGTAACCTAAGGAGAGTCTCGGTTTATTATGAGGTCAGGCAGTGGTTAAGTTCACAATGTTCGATAACTGTCGTCTTTTTGTGTGTTTTTGGGATAATTATATCAGGGAGGTCAGTTGGGATGTTCGCCTCGGTGTTGTAACTTATAAGGTCATATTTCATCGGCACTCGTTGCGCTGTGGGAGTGTATTCCTGTAGCCAGTCTCAAGTATGAGCAGCGTCAGTGTTATTATGGGTAGGGACGAATATAGATGAATACAAGGCTGTTGTATGATGCACAAGACGTCCTCAACACCTCAAGTCCAAAATTATCAAGAATACATTTACTTATTTTATTATTTGATTGAGATAACCATTTATTTTTCTCTCTCGTGAACAATATATATTTTATTGATATTATCCCTTAATGCACTCTGTTTCTGGTGCCCGGGGCCTGACTCTCACTAAGGTGGTAAACACATCTGCCCTGACCAACACAGCCAGACCATCATCCTTTCTTTACCCCACATACCCTTTACTGTTCGTACCTCCTCTGAAATACCTTATTAAGGCGTTAATATACAAAGGAAAAGATTACAAATAAATTTACGTCACTCATAACTATCAGCCATTTAGGTGTTGTAAGTGGGCGAGGTGTTTATGCCTTTGTATTTTTTTTCTTCCCCTCATCACCCACACATGAGGCAGGACTACATCACCTGAGGGGTGTCGCTCAGTCAACACCTAGTGGAGCACCGTCACCAACCCACCCACCCATCACCAGGGCAATAAGGAGCAAATTACTACGTGTTTTTTTTCTTCTCTTTGGCGTGCTCGACTTGTGTTTATCCTCGTAGTTTACCTTGTCGCCGC